TCTCCAGCTCCGCGAGCGGTTCCAGTCGGACTTTCCTGTTCTGCGTCTGCACTCTGACAGAGGTGGTGAGTTCTCCTCAGACCTCTTGGCAACCTTCTGTGCGGAGCACGGCATCCGCCAGACGTTCACGCTTCCGGCCTCTCTGCAGCAGAATGGGGTTGCTGAGCGCCGCATTGGCTTAGTCATGGAGGTCGCTCGTACCTCCATGATCCATGCGGCTGCCCCCCATTTTCTGTGGCCGTTTGCGGTCCGGTACGCCGCGCATCAGCTCAACCTCTGGCCCCGTGTCTCCTTGCCGGAGACCTCGCCCACACTGCTGTGGACGGGGAAGGTTGGCGATGCGTCGCGTTTCCGGGTCTGGGGTGCTCATGCCTTTGTCCGCGATACCACCGCGGACAAGCTCTCCGCTCGCGCCATTCCCTGCGTCTTCCTTGGCTTTGTCCCTGACGCGCCTAGCTGGCAGTTTTACGACCCCGCCTCGCGCCGTGTCTTTCCGTCTCAGGACGTCACCTTTGACGAGTCCGTCCCCTTTTACCGTCTCTTTCCCTACCGCACTGCCCCTCGCCCCCCCCCCGCCGCTCTTTCTCGCCCCAAGTCCTCCCCAGGTAGACCCCCTCCCCGCGCCAGGTCCTGCTCCTTCAGGTGTTTCTCAGGTAGACCCTCCCGTGCCTGCGCCTGTTGAGGTCACTGGTGACTCAGGTCCTGCTGGAGGTGGTGATGTCTTTGGGGGTGCTGGGCCTGGGGGTGCTGAGCCTGGGGGTGCGGAGCTTGGGGGTGCTGAGCCTGGGGGTGCGGAGCCTGCGCGTGAGGACCCAGGAGGTGCTGAGCCGGGGGGTGCGGAGTCTGGGGGCGCTGAGCCCGAGCGTGAGGAGCCTGGGGGTACTGAGTCTGGGGGTGCGACGCCTGAGGGTTCTGCGAATGCTGCTGCGCGGTCCCCTTGGAGTAGCCGTCTTCGTCCGCGTGTGCCTCTCACCTCACAGCAGCTGCACGACTGGTACGGTTGCCGTCAGGGTCGCGCTTTTGGAGCTCGGGGCTCTGCCGCTGGAGGTACTTCTGCTGACGTCACTGGAGCTGGGAGTGGTGCTGGTCCCGGAGGTGCTCGTACTGGAGGTGCTGGAGCTGCTGGGGCTGGAGGTGCTGCTGAGCCTGAGGGTGCTACTGCTGGAGACCCTGGGTCTGGGGGTGCTGCTGCTGGAGACACGGAGGCTGGAGACCCTGGGACTGGAGGTGCCAGTTCTGGGGGTGCTGCTGAGGGTACTGGAGCTGCTGGAGGTGCTGGAGCTGCTGAGGGTGCTGGAGCTGCTGGAGCTGCTGGAGCTGCTGAGGGTACTGGAGCTGCTGGAGGTACTGGAGCTGCTGGAGGTGCTGGAGCTGCTGAGGGTGCTGGAGCTGCTGGAGGTGCTGGAGCTACTGAGGGTGCTGGAGCTGCTGGTGCTGGTGGCACTGCACAGCCGCGCCTGTTCTTTGCTCCACCATCTCCGTCGTCTCTGCCACCGCCTGACTCCGTACTTCGCCAGGTTCTTAGCCTCCCGTCGTTTACTAGTCTTCCGTTACAGCCTGGCTCACCTCTGCCTGCTCCTTCTCCTTACGCGGAGCAGACAGGGGGCCTTGTTGTGCGTCGTGAGCCTGCGTCGCGTCCTGTCTCACCTGTCCGTTCTGGTCGTTCCAGTATTCGTGTTCCTCGTCAGCGTCAGCCGGCTGTCCCCGGCCCTTCCCTTGTAGTCCGTCGTCCTTCCTCTCCTCCGCAGCGTGTTCCTCCGTCGTCTCCTCCTGCGTCTTCTCTGCCTGTTGTTCCGGACCCTGAGTCTGACCGGTTTCGTGCTGAGCACCCTACTGTCACGCGTCTGCTAGCCACAGTTGTCACTGACCCGTCGTTTGAGTCTGCTGCTGCGTCTGCCTTAGTCGCTGAGCTTGTTGACTTTGCTGCTGCCTGTCGTCTAGACTACGCTGCTAGTCTTGTTGCTGAGTCTGAGTCTGTCTGTCCTCCATCCGTCGGGGGTGAGTGTTCTCTTGGCACAGACGTCCTTGAGGACAGGCAGGAGGACCTTGAGTGTCTTGCAGCCGCTGCGCCTCATCTCGTGGCCATGCTGCTTGCCCCTGAGGGAGACCCGGATGCACCAGACATCCCGACCCCGCGCTCTTACGCTGAGGCGATCGCGGGTGAGTACTCCTCTCAGTGGCAGACATCCATGGACGCAGAGATGGCATCCTGGAAGTCCACAGGCACGTACGTCGACGAGGTTCCCCGTCCTGGGGCGAACATCGTCAGTGGCATGTGGATTTTCAGGGTGAAGCGGCCGCCAGGTTCTCCGCCTGTCTTTAAGGCTCGTTACGTTGCTCGAGGTTTCAGTCAGCGAGAGGGAGTTGACTTCTTCCAGACCTTCTCCCCCACCCCGAGGATGACCACTCTTCGGGTACTGCTGCACGTTGCCGCTCAGCGTGACTACGAGCTTCACTCTCTTGACTTCAGCACAGCTTTCTTACAGGGCAGCCTGCACGAGGAGATCTGGCTGCGCCGCCCACCTGGCTTCACTGGGTCGTTCCCTCCTGGTACCCAGTGGAGTCTCCGGCGGGCAGTCTACGGTCTCCCCCAGGCGCCACGTGAGTGGCACGACACACTGAGGACGACTCTTGCGGCTCTTGGGTTTGCCCCGTCGACTTCTGACCCGTCGCTGTTTCTACACACCGACACTTCGCTGCCGTCGTTCTACATCCTCGTGTACGTCGACGACTTGGTCTTTGCCACTGCTGACACTGAGGCTCTCGCCCTGGTGAAGTTGGAGCTGCAGAAGAGACACACGTGCACGGACCTGGGTGAACTGCGCAGCTACCTTGGCTTGCAGATCACCCGGGACAGAGCACGCCGCACCATCACACTGACTCAATCACACATGGTGCAGCAGGTCCTTCAGCGCTTCGGCTTCACCTGGTCCTCAGCACAGGCCACTCCTCTGGCTACAGGTCACTCGCTCTCAGCTCCACCTTCGGACGAGTCCGTAGAGCCAAGTGGTCCGTACCCAGAGCTAGTGGGCTGCCTCATGTACCTGATGACCTGCACTCGTCCTGACCTTGCGTACCCTCTTGGCCTTCTTGCTCGCTACGTGGCTCCTGGTCGGCACCGAAAGGTGCACATGGATGCTGCTAAGAGGGTACTACGCTACTTGTGCAGTACATCGGGCATGGGGCTCGTGCTTGGAGGACGGGGTGACGTTGTCCTCACTGGTCACTCGGACGCCTCTTGGGTTGACGACCAGGCTACGCAGCGGTCGTCACAGGGTTACACCTTCAGCCTTGGTTCTGGTTCAGTTTCCTGGCGTTCTACACGCTCGTCTTCAGTTCTCGGCTCCAGTTGTGAGGCCGAGATCTACGCCACGGCTATGGCGGCACAGGAGCTACGCTGGCTCACATACCTGCTGACCGACTTGGGAGAGAGGCCTCGTTCTCCTCCAGTGCTGTACGTCGACAACAAGGCCGCCATTGCCTTGTGTCAGGAGCACAGACTGGAGCACAGAACAAAGCACATCGCTCTGCGTTACTTCCTTGCTCGAGAGCTACAGCAGCGTGGTCAGCTTCGTCTTGCTTACGTGGCCACTCGGGCCAACACTGCTGATATATTCACCAAGGCGCTTCCGCGTGGTGATCATCAGCGTTTCTGTACTTTGTTAGGCCTTGTGCCCACGCTTCCTCACTTGCTGTAGGCTTTGTTTGTACTGTGATCCATATATATACCTGCATGCTTACTCTGGTAGGTAGAGATCACTGTGCTGTTGTTGTTACGTATATATCTCTGCATGTGAACTGGCCTTGTGGCCTTTTGCTTGTGCTCAGACTGCGTGGTGACGTTGTGATCCACCCTGAGCTTGCTTTACACTTCCTGACTGGTCTTGTGACTCTCTGTTCTCCCCCACTTTGCCTATGGGGGTGTGTCAAACATATATTTATATGTTATAGTTTGGGTAGGCTTAGTGGGGTACTCACTGTAGGGTACAACCCCTTAGGTTTCACTTTTGTACCAAACTTCTCGATAGTTGAATCATCCTTGCCTAAGATTCTAACATGTAGAACTATGGGTGTGAGACAGTGCAGCAGAGGAGTGAGCCGGTGACTGTCTAATATGGACTGGTAGTATTACCGGGTAAAAGTCTGACGACTGGTACTAAATTTGGAGGGGCCGATGTAGTGTAAAGTTTCGGCTACCAAGTGGTGACTCCATGTGTCATTCAGGTCCCAAGACCTGATGATGGTACCCTACATCTGTGATACTGCAATCATGAAGCTGGTGCAAAGGATGGAATTGTTACAAGAAAACATAAGACTACTAGGAGCCTGGATGGCAGGTAGCACGGCTGGGCGGCGTGGATGCATCAGTGCTTGCCAGCACGACCTAGACAAAACGGGCCACAGGACCACAGGTGCAAGCAATGGGCCAGAAACCCTCGCATCGCAGCCTGCCAGCATCGCTCTGTTGCAACCTTGTCATTGGTCAACTCACATAATGCTGCAAAAGTGGCCAATGATCGGACCAAGCGCGCCAACAAAGCAGCCCTCGAAGTGAATAACACGGGGCAAATTTGTCTGGTAGTCACCGCCAGGCGGTGCTGACACCGCGGGAATCTGAGATTCCCTGTACTTCCTGGCAACTACACTCCGAAAGTGTAGGAATCGCATTCAGTGTCAGTTTCGTTACAACATAGTGGAATCAGTGTCCCTTAAAAAAAAAAACCTGAAAGTTCAGAGTCATCTGGCCCCTAAAGGCTGAAAAATCAGTCCCCCAAAAAGCTGAACACTGGAAAATCAGGGTAGGTACAAAAAAATCCCTGAAAATCAGGAATTTCAGGGGAAAATTCCTGATATCGTAGGGCTTGCTACTAGTACACCTTTATACAGGCATTTAATTTTGAATAGAAGATTGATACCTAAAACGCTACTGGATTGCTTATACTAATAGATAGCTACCTATGTGTAACTAAGTAAAGACTTTCTAATATCGACACATCTGGCTAAAGGGACCCTGCTAGGCCTACAATATATATACACACAAAAACCACAGCAACACAGCACACCTCTGCACCTATATTGTGCACACTCCTTGGCGAATCCTGGTTTGGTCTGGCAGGCAGATTTTGGCGCCTGAGGGTATTTTATCGATGCAATCGTATCCATTGATACGCTTGTAGCATCCTCGAATGCCCCGGAAGTATTTGATCTGGATGAAGCTGCAGCGCTCGCTCCCGCTTGCTGTGAGCCCTTTGCTTCTTGGGCAGATACCGGCAGTGTATTCACCTGACACCTGTATGCACGCCTGGGATGGGATGGGAGGGAGGCACATATGGTAGTAACCAGAATGAGAGTCCACGGTGGGAAGGAGTCAGTTGGTGATGCACGGTGCACCCGTAGGAGATAGATGACTCGTTCATACCGTACCTCAAAGCCGGTGTGCTTTGAGGCGCCTCACAATTAACCAGAATGAGAGTCCACGGTGGGAAGGAGTCAGAGCGTATTCCTATCCTCGTATCAAGAGAACCTCATATCAAGATTGTACTTTTTGCCTGGTAAAACTAGCGAGAGGTTGGGGGTTTAGGGGAATTTTCAGTGGGAAGTTGATACGAGGTTCTCTTGATACGAGGATAGGAATACGCTCTCAGTTGGTGATGCACGGTGCACCCGTAGGGGATGAATGGCTCGTTCATACCGTACCTCAAAGCCGGTGTGCAAGTCGAGGCCAGCAGCGTCGGGAACGAGGCGATCGCACTTGATGCCGGGGTTGAGGCGGAAGAAGTCGAGCGGGGAGAGAGGCGGGTTGGGCACGTTGCGGATGGACTCGCACGTCTCACCACTCTGCACCAGATAGTACTGCGAGCACACCGGGATCACCTGCCCCTTCCCCCCCGCTCCTCCTGCCCCTGCTCGCCGCTCCACACACACCGCCTGGTTCGGCGGCATCTGCTCGTTGCAGTCGAGCCCTGGGTTGAGGCTGTTGAAGGCTGTGGTGCAGGAGGGCTCCGTGCCGAGGCAGTTGTTGAGGTTGAAGTACTGCCCGATAGAGTGGCACGTGTCGCCCTGGTGGATGGAAGTTGCATTTTCGGGGGAAGGCGCGGTTTTTTTAGTCGACTCAAAACTCAGTTGTTGAGATTGAAGTACTACCTGATAGAATCGCATGTGTCGCCCTGGTGGATGGGAGTTGCATTGGGGCAGAGGGAGCGATGGTGGTGGGCCTTGAGTCAACAGTTCAATAAAGAGCAGCCACACATACACAGTGACTCCGAAGAGAACCAGAGAGAGGCTCAAGAGGGGAGAACTGAGCTGGAAAAGGGTCACGGTGAAACAACACACACAAATACAACACACCCTCCAACAGCAGTGCCGGCGGCGCTTGGAAAACCATCCAGTCACCGTTTAAGTAAACTCAAGAGGCGCTTGGAAACCCGTTAACGCACCTGTGCAGCGGTGTGAGGACCTCACAGCCGACTTGCAAACCAACAAGCACAGCGCACCTGGACAGTGGTGTAGAAGACCGAGCAGGGGGCGAGTCCGGGCTTGGGAACGACATTGAGCACCAGGCCAACGGGCAGGGGCGCGTTGCAGTTCACATTGGGCTGCACGGCACAGACACAGGCACAGGGGGGACAAGGGGGGGATATTTGAGGCCCCTCAAATAGGCGAGTCCGCCGCGCTTGGGAAGGACAGTGAGCACCAGGCCTACGGGCAGGGCCGCGTTGCAGTTCACAGTGGGCTGCACGGCACAGGCACAGGCACAGGCACAGGCACAGGCACAGGCACAAGGGGGGGTCGCCAAGCTTTGACGTGTCAGAGAGATTACGCAGACGGAGATTAAGCAGACTAAAGGATCAACCAAGCTACACATCACATGCAGTGCATCACGAGGCAAAGATTGATCCTGAGACGACTAAACCACGGTACATACAATGCCTACGGCGGCGGCGGCGGCAGCAGTGGCAGCAGCAGCAGCAGCAGCATTTGCCATTCACTCACATTGAGCGAAGTGAAGTTGGTGAGGGAGAGCCCGTAGAGCGGATAGATGTCTGTACAGAAGATGTTGGGCGCCAGGACTGTGTACTGTGATCGAGTGTCACCTGCAGGGGCGAGAGTTACACCGCAGAGCACGTCGCACAGGACATAGAGGGCAGAGAAACTGTTACGGGTGGGGCCGTAGAGCGGATAGATGTCTGTACACAAGATGTTGGGCGCCAGGACTGCGCCTGCAGGGGCCTTGCACGGCACGTTGCATGCAGACAAGCAATGAGGCGGAGGAAAGGCAACCAACGCACCACACAAGACATCACCCAGAGCAGGTTTTTGAGTCGACTCAAGAGTTGCTTTGCAAGCAAACAATGAAACGGACAGGAGAGGGTACCTGGAGCAAAGGAGAAGGTACCTGGAGCAGAGGAGAAGGTACCTGGAGCACAGGAGAAGGTACCTGGAGCACAGGAGAAGGTACCTGGAGCACAGGAGAAGGTACCTGGAGCACAGGAGAAGGTGCCATCGACGGTGGTGCCCTGCCTGAAGCCCGGTGGACACACACACGAGTACGACCCCGCCCCGTCATTCACACACGTGCCCACCGCACACGGGTTGCGGAACGACACCCGACACACGTCCACTGCAGTGCGTGCGTACAGATCAGGGGCAGGACGGATGAGAGCACAACGAGTGATGAGTGATGATGAGTGAAGATGAGCAGACGGGCACTCCAGTGCAGATGGACAGAACGGATTGCCATGCCATTATGAAGAACAGATCAAAGGAGAGCAACAAACTCGTAGGGTAAACGTAAACGTCAACAAAGAACACAAGGAAGTCAGGCAGGGCGGTGGGAACGGGAACCCCAGCATTGAAGTCACAGGTTCAGAACCTTGTCGCTGTTGGCAGGGCAGTGGGAATGGGAATAGCGTGTAGTCAACCAGATAAGACCCGTCCTACGGTTGAGCTTACAGCGCTTGTGCGTTTTGCTCACCACATGGCAATAGCAGAGGTACCCTACGGTTTGATTCGAGATAGAAGACAGAAGACCGGATACGGGAGATGAAAGATGGGAGACGGAAGAGGGAGATGGGAGATGCAAACGACTCATCTCACCATAAGCACAGGTGCGGGAACCGTCTGCATTGGTGGCTTCAATGAACCGGGGGTCCGAACAGAGGCAGCGGTTGGTGCTGCCCTCCACCACACACGTGAAGGATTTGAGACGTCTCAAAAACTGTCACATACATACCATAAGCGCAAGTGCGGGAGCCGTCTGCATTGGTGGCTTCAATGAACCGGGAGTCCGTGCAGAGGCAGCGGTTGGTGCTGCCCTCCACCACACACGTGAAGTTGCCGCACGGGTTGAAGAGCGACCCTGAGGAGTCGTTCCTTGCTGCTGTGTTGCATGGGTCCGACACCGCTGGTCATGGGAAGAAGTCGAGAAGAAAGAGACGAAAGAGAAGAAAGAGAAGAAAGATAAGAAAGAGAAGAAAGAGAAGAAAGATAGGTTCGGGAAAGCAGCGAATTGGAGGTTCGGAAACTATGTCCAACCCTTCATTCCCGAAACCAAGCAGGAGCCAGACGCAAACTGAGCCTCCAGTCCAGAGTTTGCGTCTCCAACTCTGCAATTCAGGCTTTGGGCTTTCACAATGCACACGCACACACGCACATACAATACAAGCACATACAAGCACATACAAGCACACCCAAGCACACCCAAGCACACACGCACATCTGCAAAGCAAACTGACCTCTGACAATCGGGTAGATGCCCGGCAGAGTGTTGATGCCGCACACGCCATTCCCCCCCTGGATGTCCATGCGCATGTGGCCCCCATCGCCCCAGTCAGGCCCCCATGAGTTGCGGATGATCCAATAAGGTGGCGCCATGTGGGGGAAGCGCGAGTCCTTGCCCACCAGGCGGTACCCCACCAGCAGCACCACGTGGTTCAGGTTGTACGTGAAGCAATCAGGGTCCTGGTACTTGGACAGCTGAGATGAGAGGTGCAACGGGATTTGGAATGGTTTGTGACGGTTGTGCTGTGTTTAGTCAGTCAAGAAGCTAGAAACTTTCCTTTATTGGCAACAAACAAGGTGAGGCGCCTACTGGCGGCGCTAGGAATAGCAACAAAGTGGAGTCTGGAGGAGGAGATTAATTGACTAACCATAGAACCGAATCACACCGGATCGACTCGAACTAAACCGATTCTGATTGAATTGAACCAACTGTACACGCACGCACGCACTCACCCCATCGTAATCTTTGAAGGATTGTGCCGTTGCCTCTATTTGCACCACCACTGGCTGCCGCTGCACTGCCAGCAGCAGGCCAAACCAGCCGTAGAATGACGTGGACTCGAATCCCCTGATGTAGAAATCACCTGACAGTGCCTGCTGCTGCTATAGACGGGACGATTTTATTTGACAATGACACGCAGGGGAAAAGATGGACGATTAGCAGATGGACAGGCAGGGCGGAGTGAGGTGTTGCAGAAAGCATACGACGATGGCAGATTTTGCTGTTTTTTTGTACTAGGGACTGGAAAGGAGGAAAGGAGCGAGCGTGGAGGGCCGAGGGAGGGGTATAGGGCGGAAAGAGGGGAGGCGGGGAGGGTGGGTGGGGGAGAGGGAGGCGGGAGTGAGCGAGAGAGAGGCAGGCAACAAGCCAACCAAGCAACCAGGCAACCAGGCAGGCGTACCTTAGTGGCACCCTTGCCATCGCAGCTGATTCCAAGCAGCTTGAGCAGCGGAACAAACGGAGCCATGCAAAGCGGACTCCTGCCCTGCTTCGCAGCAGCGCCCTTCCAAGCAAGCACCGCCTTACTACTACCCCCCGCCGCACCACCGCCGAGCCGCCGCCTCCACAAAAGGCGCCTCTTCCTCCCTGCCAGCTTCGCTGCCCTTGCAGTGCGATTCCTTCCCCGAGGCACCACCACCGCGTTGCTGCGTCCCCTGACACCGCTCCGAGGCGTTGGCGCCTTTCCAGAGCGGGCGGATTTGAGGAGGAAGGCGAAGGCCTGGGAGGGCGAGCCGCCCTGGCAGTCGGCGCGCATGGAGGAGCGCAGCTGCGGTGCTGATAGCTGCGGCGCCACCGTGAGGTTCGCCAGAATGCTGTAGGCGGCTTCTATGCTGCCCACCACCGCGTACGCCCAACAGTCGCCTAGGGGCGGAGAGGGAGAGAGTGGCAGGAAGGAGAAAGGGAGGGAGGGAGACAGACAGGGAGAGAGGGAGAGAGGCAGGCACATGCAGGTTGAGAAGAGGCGACGGAAATCAGTGCTGAAGAAGCGATAAGCACAGAGTTTGCCTGCGAGACCTACCCACACTTATCTACGTACCAAAAAAGAACTTGAAAAAAAAAAAAAAAACAAACAAACAAACAAACAAACAAACTAAGAACTGAAAGTGTGCATCAGTCCTCTTTTTCCGAAACAGAAACCCTTGGAGGCTCAAGCATTCAGGCGCACCCCAGGCAGTCTGCATCTTGACGGGCCAGAAGAGGTCCTTGACGAGCCACGTGGTGAGGAGGAGTTTTGAGTGACGCGCCTCAGAAAAGAACACAACTCACCGCAGGCAGTCTGCGTCTTGACGGGCCAGAAGAGGTCCTTGACGAGCCACGTGGTGAGGAGGAGTTTTGAGTGACGCGCCTCAGAAAAGAACACAACTCACCGCAGGCAGTCTGCGTCTTGACGGGCCAGAAGAGGTCCTTGACGAGCCACGTGGAGGTGAGGCGCACGGCGTACTGGTCCCTGTCGTCGCCGCTCTCCAGCGTAGGCAGGATGCCGGAGCTGGCGTAGCGGAAGAGCGCGTTCATGCCCGACGCCCCCGGGCTCACTGCTGCCTCGCTCACCCGCAGCCCCAGCGATACCCCTGCCATGTGTGGACGTGGGGATGGAGGGAGAGAAGGAGGGAGGGAGGAGGGAGGGGGGGGGCCAGGCGGGGGGGAGTGGGCAGGGAGAAGAGGTCGAGGAGGGGCGCAGACAGGGGCAAGCAAGCAGAGACAAGGCAGGTCCAGGAGTGGGTGAGACGTGGGGAGGATTATACACATTGATTGTGTGGATTCGAGCGCAAACGATGTGGGTGTGATGTGAAGTGAGGAACGAATCTCTGATTTGTGATGCAAACGCAAACGCAAACGGGAATGGATGCCGAGGCGAGGGCTTGTGATTTGAGTGATGGAATGGAAGGAGAGGGCAGAAGAGAGAGAGTCGGTGCACGAGAAAGGGAGAGCAGAGGGTGCAGTATGTGCTTTTCCCCAGCCCATGTCAGGAAACGCCCACAAGCATTAAGACGAAGGAGTCTTTGGGTTCGAGAAAGTGAGGAAGGAAGGATGCATGCGTGCGTGTGCATGCATGCAGGATAGGACACTTACCACCACGTTTGGAGGGTGGTTGTGGGAAACCTGCAATGCGCAGGGGAGGGGAGGGGAGGGGGTGGGCGGGATTGACTAAAAGGAAAGAATATGGAACGAATATGGAAAGAGAGATGCATGCTGAAGGATACCAAAGCAGCAGAGAGCAAAGCAACGCAAGCTACAAACCTGCAAAACAGAAGGAGCAGGACCAATGACGGATGGAGAAGGGAAGGCGAAAAGCAGCATGAGTTGCGCAGGGCAACATGAGATGAGAGGATTTAGCAGATACTCGATTGACCGACGGACGGCAGGCACACTCACAAAAGAGCTACCGGACCAGGGTGTTCAGCATGTTCAGGCGCCTAAAAGAAACCATGCGAGGCGACAGACAGACAGAAGATACCAGGGGCAGGCAGGCAGGCAGGTACACTCAGAATGTTGAGGCGCCTCAAAATTCGTCCCACTTTGACACGCTCACACGTGGTGGAGTTCCAGGAAGAGATGGCATGGCATGCCTCGCGAACACAGATTTGTTTTGACGTCTCAAAACAGATATACTTTCGTCGTGCCTGGCATGCCTGTGCGCATGGGACATGGACACACACTCACGTGTGGTGAAGTTCCAGGACGAGATGGCATGCCTCTGTGCCTGGCTGCCCGATGCCGCAGTGAAGCCCACCGCAAACGTGCTCTCCAGGCGCGTGGGCTGGAGAACGTCGCACAGGGAGATGCGCGCTGACAGCACCGGCTTGGACGGGCGCGGGGAGCGGGTGGAGGAGAGGAAGAGGCGCAGGGTGCCAGCAGCTGCACCGGCAGCAGTGGCAGCAGGAGCAGCAGCAGCTGCATCGGCAGAAGCGGAGGGGTCGTATTCGATCCAGGCGTACTTTGGAGTGCCGTCGTTGAGCGGCGTGGGGGCAGCAGCTGCGGCTATGGATACCGGGCTGCCGTTCACATTCACTCCCACATGGTTCCCAGCAGGTTTGCCGCTGCTGCTGCTGCTGCTGTTTCTGCTCCTGCTGCTGCCGCTGCTCCCCCCATCCTGCCACGTGTCAAACTCCACTGCGATGCTGCGCGCAGCCATCCCTGCGTACCCCATGCCGCCTGCCACGGCCTCTACTGGGGCCATGGCATCAAACGCCACCACAAAGGCAAACCCATCAGTGCCGGAGGCTGCTGAGCGAGTAAGAGTGAAGGAGAAGGAGGAGGAGAAGGCGAGCTCGCGCCCACACCCGTCTGCGATGAGCTGGTAGGAGAACAGCGGTACGCGTTCCAACAGGAACACTGCCCCGCTCGTGCCCGCCTCCATTGGCGTAAGAGTGAACGACTTTGCCACACCATCCACGCTTGCACTCCCAGATGCGGTCAGTGCAGACAGCACCTCCACAGGCTGGAGTGTTAAGAGCGCCGACCCACCCACCACAGGCACGCAGCTGCCCCTGTACTCCCCGATCTGAAACCCCACGTCGCACTGGCACACCGGAACCTTGTTAGGGCCCTCCAGGAAGCACTCCCCGTGGCCGTTGCACGGGGGGTCTGTGGCAGAGAGGCCGCAGAAGGACGAGCAGGCCTCGGGAAGCCTCTGCTTGTCTCCCGGGCAGGTGAGCGAGGGATCGGACTGGGGGACGCAGTTGCCGCGGACGGAGAAGACGGAGCAGTCGGGCTGGGAGGAGAAGGGTTGTGTGAAGAAGTTTTTGTCGAGCTGGTACTGGACGATGTTGGGGGGAGGGTCGGGCAGGCGTCCTGTGAGCTGGTTGTCCCGCAGGTTGCTGGCAGCACGGCGGGGGGTTGGGGTGGGGGGCACGGCGGATTGGAGATAAGGGGGGTTGGATACGCAGGGTATTGGAGAGGAGGGTGAGATGGAGGAGGGTATGAGGGGAAGCGAGGAGGGGGAGCGTCGGGGCGATTTGGTGGAAGGGGAAGGAGGGGAGCAATCGGGAGGGCGTGGTGGCACATGAGAGTTGAGGGTTGTGGCCCACAACTTGTGGTGGAAGAAGGGGCGGTTACAAGAGAGGAAGGAATCGAAGCAGAAGAGGGATTGGGAGAAGGTAAACGGCATCCTTGTAAGATGCAGATGGGGAGGAGGAGCAGAAGGGGGCGGATAGAGGACAGGTGTTAAAATTGAAGAGAGCAAGTATGCGAGGAGGAAGGGAGGGATGGCATACAGGACTGTGAGCTTGACAAGGCCTGTGAAGTCCTCTGGAATCTCTCCACTGAGGCGGTTCCCACTCAGGTCCCTGACAGCAGCAGCAGCAGTAGCAGCGGCGGCGGCGGCAATCGCAGCAGCAGTAGTGTTTACAAGCAGGTGAAACAAAGAAAAGAATAGGGGAGAAGAGGAGAGGAGAGGAAACGAGAGGAGAGGAGAGGAGAGGAGAGGAGAGGAGAGGAGAGGAGAGGAGAGGAGAGGAGAGGAGATGGTGATGAAAAAGCCAGGAACAATCTGAAGGAAGAAAAGACAGCTTTTGTGAGATGGATGGATAGCAAAAAGAGGGGAGGCGAACGAGTGGGACATAAGGCATGGTTGGGTGAGGAGGGGGGGGGGCGGAGGGAAGGAAGGAGAGGAGGGTGGGTTCGGTTACAGGACTACAGCAGGTGAGGGGGGCAGCAACGGTTACAGCTTACAGGTGCTCGAGCAGCAGGAGGCCGCCAATGGTTTCTGGTATGGTGCCTGAGAGGTTGTTGTCAGCGAGACGACTGCGAGGATGGGCGAGCAGGGAAGGATGAGCCCACAGCCCAGCATTGCACGGCATGGTACGGCATGGCATGGCATGGCACATACGAGCGGCACGGCACGGCATGGCATGAGATAGTACAGCATGGCACGGCATGGCACAGCACGGCACGCCGGCATGACACAGCGCGGCGCAGCATAGCAAGTCCGCGGGTGAGGAAATGACTTAAAAACGCTTCACGGCGGATGGAAGACAAGGATGAGATGAAGGACAAGGTAAACAGGAGTAGCGAGGCAGTGAGTGGCGATGAGAGAGGCACGCCTCACAAGGTGCTTGGGGAAGGCAGGGGAGTCAGCATGAGCGCGTGCATGCATGCATGCACAAGGAGACGCACAGATTTGTGAGGAGGTTTAAAGGGGCAACGTTGGGGATGGACCCAGATAGTCGGTTGTTCTGCAGCTGACTGCTCAATCGGCAAGGGCAGGGTACGGGAAAAGAGGGCGAGATAAGTGACGCCTTCGAGAGTTCTCAAAAGTGAAATAGAAGGAGTGTCGTAGGAAGCAGCAAGACGCAGAGGCAGCAGCCGCCGCCGCTGCTGCGGGCGCCACAGGAGCAGCAATAGAAAGGTGGAGAGCGGGTACAGTGAAGTGAATGGTGGGATTAAGCGCAGCATGTTTCATGCATGGAACGTAAAGCGGCTAAGGTGCGCCATGTCACATGTATGACACAGAACGTATTGCATGGAATGGAATGGAATGGAACATGGGACGTTTGAATGAAGACTAGCACATGGCATGTGAGGCTTAACCCTCGATCTGCGCTGCGCTGTGAAATGCATGATGCGGTGCGATGTGCGCAATACATGTGTGGCAAATAGCATACATGTCTTTGAGGCGATTGAAAGTCATGAGTGCATCGGGAAAGGAGCCACTCAGGAAGTTGTCGCCAAGGCACCTGAAAAAGGCATGGGATTGATAGAAAAGTCAGTATTGATAGAAGAAACGAAACTATCTGTTCACACTAACATTGATGTTGACCAATAATGACGCTGGTATAGATTCACATTGAAGTTTGCTTAAACAATAAATGATGCTGGTATCCATTTACTACAAATGACGATCAGAAAAGACAGAGAGAAAATGCTTGAGCACTAGTTAGAAGCAAGCGCCTACTTTTGAGGCACCTCCACAACAGAAACAACAGAGAGAAGATGCTGGTGCGAGGGTTAGAAGCAGGCAGCACATCAGCACGTTGCAATCACTTTTGAGAATTCTAAAAAGTTATTTCAGCGAGGGTTAGAAGCAGGCAACACATCAGCACGCCATGCCATCGTGTGCTATAGATGCTGAAGTAACAGAGAGTCAGGTTGGGTGGACAGGAGAGTGAGAGTGCGCGGAGGAAAGGAGAGTGAGGATGGAGAAAAGGAGAGTGAGGGTGGAGAGAAGTGGAGCACGGGTGGAGAGAAGGAGAGTGTGGGAGTGGAGGGAGACAGAGACGGAGACAGACACACAGACACAGACAGATGCATACAAACACGCACGCCCGCACGCACGCACGCACGCACGCACGCACACACACACACACACACACACACACAGACACACACCCACAGACGCACACACAAAGGCGCACACGCAGTGTCTGTAGTGGCATGCCGTCTTTCCACCTGCCTGTTGCCCCGTCAGCTCACTCACTCACAGGCTCTCCAGCTTCGGTGGACCGCCATCGGCAGACGGGTGAGCCACAGCAGCAGCAGCAGCAGCCTTGGACACACGGGTTGCAGAGCGGGTGATCATCGCCCTGTCTGCGGCCTGAAAAACATTGCTAGAAATATCTCCCGTCAGCAGGTTCCTACCCAAGTTCCTGCGCAGCACAGCACGGCACACACACACACACACACACACACACACACACACACAGAGAAGGGAGGGAATGGGGAGACTCGTGGCATTTCTCAGAAGCTTGCCAGGTTCGTGAGAAGCGAGGGGATTTTCGAGTTGAGTTTATTGCACAACACGGAAAAGCAGCAGCTCTGGAAAGAAGGTTCATGCAAGCAAGAAGAAGAAGAGAGTACTGCGAATGCGAATCTCCTTCCATCAGCAGGTTCCCCGGCAGGTTTCTGCACAGGGCACACAAGTGGTGGAGGGGGGGGGGGGGGGAGGGGGGGGGGTCGTGCAGATGTTAGCCTAGCGGCCTAGCCTATGTGCTGCGTGTTATGTCAGCCCTCGCACTTACAGCACCCGAAGCTGGGTCATGGTGACGAGGAGGGGGGGGGTGGTCCCAGACAGTTGATTGTTGTTGAGCCACCTGATACGATGCATGATGTGATAGGCATGGGAGCAAGGCAGAGAGGGGCAGGGTTGACAACTCGGCACGGCAGCACTGTCAGCCAACCAGTATGCGAGGCTGATTGAATCTGGCTGTGAGAGTAGAACATAAACTGTAAAGCTGGGTCATGCAGCACTGCACAGCACAGCACAGCACCGCACAGCACAGCACAGCACAGCACAGCACAGCACCGCACAGCACAGCACCGCACCGCACCGCACAGCACAGCACAGCACAGCACAGCACAGCACAGCACAGCACAGCACAGCACAGCACAGCAAAGCACAACACAACATGGCACGGCACGGCACAGCACAGCATGCTGTGTGCAAGAGAAAAAAAGGCTTACAGGGTGTCAAGATTGACCAGAACCGAGAACGTCATTGGGATAGTGCCTGGTATGGCGTTGCCATTCAAGTACCTGCACACATGCATGCATGTATATAAGGCAAGGAACAAGTATGTCGTCACGAGCTGCCCCGTGGTGGGCTGCATTGCATGCACGGACTTGCTGCTGCGTGTGCAGTGCAGTGCAAGGCAGGCTGCTTGCTGCTTGCAATGTGCACACACGCAACCATTGCAAGCACTGCAGTGCTGACGAGACGATTGGGTGCATCTTCTTGAGTCGTCTAGAAGTTAAGCAGGACGACGAGAGTTTGGTGGTGGTGGTGGTGGTGGTGGGTTGGTTGACTGACAGTTGCTGGAGGGTGGTGAGGGAGAAGAGTGAGTCTGGCATGGCAGCCAGCCTGTTGTAGCCCAGGTCACTGCGACAGCACAGAATGGAGCCATGCCACGACACCACCACGGCCATGCACGCAGCATGTGCACACATGCATGCACGCACGCACCCAACCCACCCACCCACCCACCCAACCACCCACCCACCCACCCACCCACACACCCATACACCCGCACACACACTTGATTTTGTTAAAAGCGAACACGGTACAAGGGAGGAGTGAAGAGCGGGAAGAGAGGCGGAGGGGCAGGAGAGCTCGGGGAAGGGGGGTGCGGGAAGGGGAGAGTTGGGGAGAAGCAAGATGAGGATCAGTCATGTCCCCGCAGAAGAAAATGTTTTGAGTCGACTCAAAACACGAGTTGGGGAGAAGCAAGAAGGGGATCAGTCAGGTCCGCCCAGAAGAAAATCGCAATCACGTGGCAAAGAATACGTGGAGAAGACGGACTGGGTTGGCTGGTGTTGTAATGATGTGATCTGATTTGATTTTGATTCTTGAGTGGAGGGTAAAAGACACTGACAGGATCTCGAGCGATGGAGCCGTGATGGGCCCAGGGGGAGTGATGCTCGTAAGAGCGTTGTTACGAAGGACCCTGCACGTGAGTTAGGCATGAGTTAGGCATGAGTGGGGGGATGAATAAGTGCATGGGGCATGCGGTGCACTTTATCAAACCAGGAACCACAGCAGCAAGACTGTGAGCGAGCCGTCCTGGACATGCAGCAAGGAAGGACGGCACACAAAGACCAAGAAGAGAGCAGCAGGCTCCATCCAATCCAATAACACACTCTTGAAATGAAACCACATGGTGGTAATTGATTCTGAGGCCTCGCAAATGATGGGCCACAAGACGGGCTCCACGCCACACTATACTGATACCGTAAAAGCAGGAGAAGCAGAGCACAGCGCGCTAGCAACAGCAGCAGCAGCGCAAGCACAGCACACGATGCCTCAAGCAGGGGGGCCGCAAGCGAGCGAGCGAGCAGCTTCTTTTGCAGTGCGTGCGCATACATTGTCTTGAGCAGGGGCAGCGTCAGGAGCTTCCCTGGAATGTCGCCTTGAAGCCTGTTGTTCTCTAGGCTCCTGATCATGGATGTATGTATCAGCGCATGGGCGTGGCGGAGGGGGCATCCAAAGAGTAGAAAGGAGCAGAGAGGCAGTGGGAATAAAAGAGAGTTGTGTCGGAGAATAGCCTCATCACCCAACCTTCTTGCTGTCACCGCCTTGTCCTCCTTCCCTGTGTGCTGTTCCTTAGCCTCTGTCACTACCATTATATGAGAGCACTTTCTCACCCCCCAGGTCCTCCCTCAGTGGCATGCCACCGGATACGAGATCTAAGGCAACAAATTCCACTAGTACGAGAGAATAACAGGAGAAAAGCAACGAGTGGGTGTTGTGTTGGCTACTGAATTTACCTCACCCAGGCTTGAGCCGTACATTTCTCAATGTGCGCCTCGAGCATAGGCCAGTTGCTTCAGATTGGTTCGTTAGATTCCAGGTCCAGCCCCTCGATGTTTTCCCTAGGCCTTCCCACCAACCTCGCGAACCCTCTGGTTCTCAACTACTTGCCCTCGAATTGTAATAGTCTAATTGCTACACCTGAGTCTACACCCATATGCACAAACTGTTACCGCATATGCACAATGTGCATATTTGGTGACAGATGCACCCATACACCCGCCCTCCCGCCCACCCTCTCGTTTGTCCTCCCGCCCGCCCGCCCGCCCGCATTCAGCATCCCTTTGGCACTTTCATCTCCCTATAATCTGTTCCTTCAATGCTGCATCAACAGGCGTGCACAGCTTACAGTGCTGTGAGATTGACCAGAGAGGCCAGCTTATCAGGTATGTTGCCACTTATGTAGTTGTTCGACAGGTTGCTGCAGCCAGTGGGAAAAGGAAGAGGAGGGGGAGGAAGAGGAGGACGGAGAGGGAGGAAAGACGGACGTGGAAAGAGCAGAGGGAGGAAAGAGGGATGTGGAGGGAGGAGAGACGAGTGGGTGAGGTGAGGATGAGAGTGCAACGAAGAGGCAGACAGAGTTTTAGAAATCTCCGAAGGGACAGACAGAGGAAAGAGGAGTGATGAGTGACTGAAGGAGAGTGAGAGAGTGTGGGAGACTAAGAGAGAGGTGAAAGCAGACAGAGGCGAATCATGGACAGTTAAGAGATGAAAACTCTCAGTGCATTGATGGTATGGTAGGGCGCAGATGGCACACGGCACGGCACGGCATAGCACACGGCACACGGCACGGCACAGCACAGCACACGGCACACGGCACGGCACAGCTGTAGGGGAAGCGCAACAGCAAAGCCACATGCAACAGGAAAGCGACGTGCAACAGGAAAGCGCGGCCTGCCTGCAATGAACTAGACCATTATAGAGAAGGGAGAAATGGGAGCAGATTGGCAAGAGAAACAAGCAAAAAATATCCTCCCAAACAACACAAGACTGACAGGTAAACGAGGCCAGGGAAGTTGACGATGTAGGGCGGAAAGGGGCCGGTGAGACCAATGCCAGAGGCGTTCCTGCAGTGGCAAGGCAAGGCAAGGGAAGGGAAGGCAAGAGAAGGGAAGGGAAGGCAAGGGAAGGGAAGGGAAGGGAAGGGAAGGGAAGGAAAAGGAAGGGAAGGAAAAGGAAGGGAGGGCAAGGGAGACGAGACGTTGCGTTGCGGAGAGCGAGAGAAGAGCAGGGCTTGTGAGTTGACTCGTGAGCAGGACCAGGGAAGGGGTGAGTCATGACTCGCAGCAGGGCAAGGAAGAGGGGACCTGAAAAAAGATGTTTTGAGTCGACTCAAGAGAGATGCTACGGTGCAGTGAAAGCAATGGCGCTCTGAGTTGATTCATGCATAAGCTGTGGTGGGGGAGGAAGGGAAGGGAAGAGTAAGGATGGGGTGGAGAAGGAGAACGTGAGAGGGAAGGCCTTGAACTTGATTGCACAATGATGCTGGTGGTGGGAGCTGGTTCACATGCATGCCGTGAGAGTGCATGTGTGAGTGAGTGTTGGTGTAGCTGCTTAATTTTTGTAGTCGACTCAAAAAACAGGCTTATCACGCTTGATTGTACAATGATGCTGGTGATGGGAGCTGGTTCACATGCATGCCGTGAGAGTGCATGTGTGAGTGAAGGTGTAGCTGCTGCTCCTGCTATAGTGGACTGGAGCATATGCGTACAGATGCACAGACGAGGAACAGAAGATGACGCTAGGGGAATAAGAGAGCGAGCAGCACGGTGACGAAAGAGAGGGGAGAGAAGAGGAGGACGTGAGGGGAGAAGGTAGGTGAAGAGTGGGGAGGGGATAAGAGGAGAGCAGAGGAGAGGAGTGAGGAGAGAAGATGAGGCGGATTAAAAGGAAGAATGAAGAGAGGGGAGATTTGGAGAAGGAGGCACGAGGGGGAGGATGAGGGAGGGGAGGTGAATGGAAGGGAGAAGAGGGGAAGAATCAGGCGAATGAGAGGGAGGGAGTGGGGAAGCAGTGGATCAGGGAAGAGGGATGAAGGGGGGAGAGGAAAGAGGCGAGGAAAGAGGAGAGGACAGGAGTGTAGAGTAGAGGAGAGGAGAGGAGAGGAGAGGAGAGGAGTAGAGAAGAGAGGTATCAGAGTGGTGAGTGCAAGGCGGGGGAGGAGTGTGTACAGTGAGGTGAGGCCCGTGAGTAGGCTGAGCTGGTTGGGCAGCGATGTGATGCCCGAGCCACCCAGCGACCTGGAGGGAAAACCAGGAAACGCAATGGGATGTGAATCGATGCCATGCAATGGGATGGGGGCCAAAGGCATGGACGGAACGGTGTGTGCACGCGCGCGCGCGTGCGTGCGTGTGCTTGCGTGTGCGTGCGTGCGTGTGTGTGTATGTGTGTGTGGCGACTGCATAAGAACAGTGGTGGGGAAGTCGGTTGCCAGTGGGTGAATGGTGAATAAGTAGCACGAGTGCAGCCAGGGTCGAGGTGCAGCATGGCATGGCATGGCATGGCATGGCATGGCATAGCATGGTCGGGAATGGTGTTGTATGGGGTGTTGTGAGGTATGGGATGGCACGGCATGGCACAGGATGGCATTGTATGGTGAGGCATGGCATGGCATGATGTGTATGGCATTGTATGAGATTCCTTGTTATGGCATAGGACAACATGGCGTGGCATGGCATGCCTTGGCATGGCATGATATGGCACTGTATGTGGCATGCCAGTGTGGTATGGCACCCAGGCACGGCATGACATGACACATTGTATTGTATGCACGGCATGGCATGGCATGGCATGGCATGGAATGGCATGGCATGGCATGGCATGGCATGGCATGGCATGGCATGGCATGGCATGGCATGGCATCGCATGGCATGGCATGGCATGGCATGGCATGGCATCGCATGGCGTGGCATGGCATCGCATGGCGTGGCATGGCATGGCATGGCGTGGCGTGGCGTGGCATGGCATGGCATGACTGACAAGTGTTTGAGGTCGGTGAAGGAGACGAGGAGAAGCATGTCCTCAAGTGTGCTGTTGCTCAGCCCTCTGATGGAGGGATGCTCCGCAGGGCATGGCAGCAACAGGACAGGGCATCATATGGTGTGACGGGGTGACATGGTACGGACATGGTATGGGGTGGCATGGTATGGTAGGGGGTGACATGGTATAGGTATAGGGTGTCATGGTATGGAATGACATGGTACGCTGATGTCTCACAAGCAAGGCCGCTGCTGAGACACGACTCAAGAAGGAAGGGGTCAATTTGGGCGCGCAGCAATGGGCAGACTGGGTGAGGTGAGCAATGAGTAGAGTGAGTGAGGTGAGCAATGAGTAGAGTGAGAGAGGTGAGCATTGGAGGTGGAAGAAGCAGCACTGACAGTGTGTGAGGGGGGATGCTGAGAGTGTGAGGGGGGATGCTGAGAGCGTGAGGCGCGATGCTAAGAGTGCGAGGGGCGATGCTGGGCGTGTCCGGTTCGATGAGGGGGGCTACACTGACAGGAAGGTGAGTGAGCGCAGTTTTGAGATGGTGGGAGATAGGGGGACCGCAATGAGGTTGCCTCTGAGGTCACTGCACGGAGGGAGAATTGTGGGAAGGAAAGGAGAGAGAGCGAGAGAGAGGAGAAGAGAAGAGATCCAGGGAGTGGGATTGACAGACCGCTTGAGAGTGCTGAGGGTTCCCCAGCTGAGGCTGTGGCTCAGTGAGACCAGAGGGGATGGGATGGGATGGGATGCAAAACACAGAAATAGAGCAGTAGAGGCGAGGTGCATTGGGAGCTTCATGCACCAAAACACCCTAAACGGAAGGTGTGTGCGAGTGCCCATGCAAAGAGAAACCATGGGCCATGGCTTGCGTGTGAGCGCTACAAGCCCATGGGAAAGAGCGAAAGGCGAGGCTTCTGATTAGAGTTGGTCATTTGAAAGTTTTAGCAAAACAGTCAACACAAGCAGGAAACACACGGAGGGACGCAAAGAACCGTGGGAAGGGGTTGGAAAGAGAGAGACACGGAGAATGGGGGCGGGATGGGACGGGGGGGCATGGGACTGTGATGATGATGCACTCACAGACGATCCAAAGAGGCTCATGAATTGTGATCGTTTTTAGAGAAGTAAAGAAAGAAAGAGATCACACAAACAGCAAGATGTACTCACAGATGCTCTAAGCGTTTCATGGCTGTGACATCCACGGGCAGATCACATTCATACTTGTTGTATGAGAGGTCCCTAGATGGGAGGGGAAGGAGGTGATGGTGGGACGGAGATGCACCAGGGAGAGACAGAGAGAAAGAGAGAGAGTGAGGAGAGAGAATGCCATGTGATGGGTTTAATAGAAGCACATGCGACACCTGGACATGGATGGCTACGTTGGCAGATACGCTTTGGGAAGGCTGGCGTACCACGTATATACGCTGGCGTATATACGTGGTACGCTAATACGCTCTGGATTTGCGAAAATACGCCCGGGCAGCCCGCGGTAAAAAAAAATCCGAAATTGAAAAAATCCGCGACGACTTTGCGGCTTCGCAAATTGTTACCGCGAACTCGCTCAAGCACCCTACCCACGTCTGAACTTCGAATGTCAAAATCCAAACTTTCCCACCCACTCAACCACACACCACCCCACCCAACCTCTCAAACCCAACCACCCCTTTCAAATGTTCATCACTTCGTGAGCATTTTTAGGTCGACGACTTCCATAATGCTCTTCAATTTACTTCCCGCAGGTCTCGTCTAGCATTCTTCCCCGTTAGTTAGACGTTCCGTAGTCGCGCGCCATGGCGTCGAGCGCAGCTCCTACTAGTTCGACGAGCAATGCAGCCTCTGTTCACAGCTCTACTGCCCGGGAAAAAAGTTTCACCTGCCCGTCCAGCGTATTTTAGCGTATCAGCAATACGCCAGCCATTGCGTACCGCGTATATACCCAGCGTATAATACGCTAGCGTATTATACGGGATACGCGTATTTGCCAACGTAGATGGATGGTGGGTTCGGATGGGATGGGATGGGATGGGATGGGATGGGATGGGATGGGGATGGGACTGGAGAGGGTGATGATGGCATGGAAATGCATGGGGAGGGAGGTAGCAGTGCAGTGCGAAGGATGCATGAATGCGTGCTGGACACGCGTGCGTGCGTGCGTGCGTGCGTGCGTGCGTGCGTGCGTGTGTGTGTGCGTGTGTGTGTGTGTGTGTGTGTGTGTGTTTGTGCGCGAGCAAGTAAGTGACAACACTTGAGCAGCCTAGCAATCTATCATCTATGGTAGGTAGGCTCACAGGTATCTGAGAGTATTGACACTGTAAGTTGGCAAGAGTTCCAAATTCCCGTCAATCTGGTTGTGAGACAGGTCCCTGTTGCAGTCGTATTGCGTGCCGTGGCGTCGTGCAGGTAAGGAGGAGGGAAAGAAGTGAAAGAGCAAGCGAGATAGGGCGAGTGAGAAGTGATTATGAGGCAAGTCTATGCAGGAGGAAGGGATGGATGGGAGCTATGATACAATGACAAGGGTATTAATTGGATGGGATGGGATGGGACGGGATGGGATGGGATAAGCCGGAGCACAGCAGCATTTGCAAAGGCAGGGCGGGGAGGATGGTCAAATCAGAGGCGAGAAACGAATGAAAAGTCCTTGCTCTTTAAAATGCACTGGCATGGATAGGGTTGTCGCCAGGCGAGGCAACACGAGCGCACAAACCGTACAAGAACACAACGACCCTACACAAACCAAGCTGCAGAACGAGCAAAGAAACACCCCTTTGGGTTAACAACGATTTCCGGCTTTACATCCAAGCTGCAGCATAAGGGGTGAAAATACTAGAGGTGGTAATTTGAAGAAAGGGATGGGGGGTTGGCGGGATTGCGTACAAGGGCAGAGACTTACAGCACTTGAAGAGAAGTGGCGAATGAGAGCCTCTCTGACAATGATCCAAAGAGCTGGTTGTGGCTCACGTTGCTGCAGATGGGCACCACAGCAGCAGCGGCAGCAGCAGCAGCAGCAGCAGCAGCAGCAGCAGCAGCAGCAGCAGCAGCAGTAGACAGGATGATTGCAGGTGAAGCAGGAGGGCGATAGTCAGGGTTCCAAGACATCAGCCGGGAAAGAAGTGAAAGCCGGGCAAAGGGCAAGAGAGAACGCTAGGGGACACCAGGACCAGGGGAGGAGATAATCTAAAAGGGCAGCTTACGCATAAGTGAGGAGAGGAAAACTGCCCAGGAAACCTGGGAAAGCGTCACTAAAGAGGTTGTTACTGAGGGACCTGCAACAGAGCAGAGAGACCAGCACGGCACGTAAACAGGACAGAGGCATCAGCTATCGCACCGCATCAGCCCCCACTGCTGCTCCACTGGTACCTGATTAGAATAGCTTGACTTGACATGACACGGACATGCAAGACAAAGGAGAGCAGGAAGGGTAACTGAATCTGTCTGTGGAAGGTTCTTGGAGGACATCTGCTGACTAATAGCAGCAGATACGCACACAAGCGCAACAGGTGCACTGGAGAGCTCATGGGCTGGACGTATAAATGGATATGGATGGACACATGGACACATGGACACATGGACACATGGACCCATCAGTACATGCACTGCACACACCCACACACATGGACATGCGGACATGTGGACATGTGAACACATGAACATGCGGGCATGTCTAGTCAACAAGGAGCAGGAAGGAACGGGAAGGCGCCGAGAGGGAGAGAGAGAGGAAGGTGGTGGTGGTGGTGCTGACAGGGAGCGAAGGTTGGTGAGATCTGCGAATTGTGTTGGCAGGTCACCCAAAAAAGCATTGTCGTTGAGACGACTGGTGGGTGAAGGGGGTTGGGACGGGATGGGATGGGATGGGATGGGATGGGATGGGATGGGATGGGACGGGACGGGACGGGACGGGACGGGACGGGACGGGACGGGACGGGACGGGACGGGACGGGACGGGACGGGACGGGACGGGACGGGACGGGACGGGACGGGATGGGATGGGATGGGATGGGATGGGATGGGATGGGATGGGATGGGAAGGGATGTGATGCAATTTGTTGTGAGGCGATGGGATGAGATACGATGAGGGCAACACCAAGGAAAGAAGTGGAACCGAGAGCACCACAATCAGCACTGCAAGCTGCTCACTGCCCAGCGCACCGCACATGCCGCCAAGCCCTGCCCGTTGATCACATGCCAATTCCCAAGCGCCACTGCTCACATGCCAATTCCCAAGCGCCACTGCTCACATGCCAATTCCCATCCCAAGCGCCACTGCTCACATGCCAATTCCCAAGCGCCACTGCTCACATGCCAATTCCCATCCCAAGCGCCACTGCTCACATGCCAATTCCCAAGCGCCACTGCTCACATGCCAATTCCCAAGCGCCACTGCTCACATGCCAATTCCCAAGCGCCACTGCTCACATGCCAATTCTCAAGCGCCACTGCTCACATGTGTGCAAGGTTGACCATTTTCTCCACGTCAACATCACAAGCGGCTTTCCAGGCGCCTCTAATATAAAACCACCTCACTCATTCTTTAGGCGCGTCAGACGCAAAGCAAGCCCTGCTGCTCGCTCACATGTGTGCAAGGTTGGCCATGGGCTCCACTTCAAACGCCAGCAGATTGCCAACCAGCCTGTTGTAAACCTTTTTTACGCAAGTTCTGGATTAACTTGACGATTTGTTTAAAATGGCTCTCTAAGACAACGCTCTAAGCTCACAGTTAACCGGGATATTCCATCCATTCCATGGGGTTTGTCTCGTCGATTTAATAACCACACGAGTTGATGGAAGTAAGACCTCCGCAGCCCACCTGTCTGCTACTGACTGCTCACTCACATGTGTGCAAGGTTGGCCATGGGCTCCACTTCAAACGCCAGCAGATTGCCAACCAGCCTGTTGTACGACAGATCGCTGTGCCGCCCAGATGGAAACACGTGCAAAGGGGGGGGGAGGAGAGACGTGTGCGTGGAGAAGAGGTGGGCGAAATGGAGCACAGGAGGGAATGGCTGAACAGCAGTAGCTGGGTGGGGGAGTGGGTAGAGTGGGTGGGAGGAGTGGGTGGGTGGAGTGGGTGGAGTGGGTGGGCTAGTATGGATGCATCTCGCTTCTCAGGTGGAGCGTGGGTGGGGAATGGCTATGGCCCTGCTGCAGACAACACGAGCAGCACGCGCATCGCAATGCATGATGAACGAGTACAGATCCACCCCATTCTTGAGCACCTAACACCTCTTCCTCTCTCTCCCTGCCTCTTCCTGCCTCTTCCTGCCTCTTCCTGCCCCCACTGCCACTGCCTGGCCCCACTGCTGCTTGCTACCCATGCATGCATGCACATGCTGTGCGTACAGAGCAGTGAGGCTGGTGAGGAGACTCCACAACTGTGGGATGCTGCCATCCAGTTCATTGCGAGAGAGGTTCCTGTGGCGCGACATCCAGGCAAGGTGGCATGAATGCAGGCATGGGGGCATGGGGGCATGGGGGCATGGAGGCATGGAGGCATGGAGGCACGGGGGCATGGAGAGGCATGGAGGCATGGAGGCATGGAGAGGCATGGAGGCACGGCGGCATGGCGGCAAATGTTTAATAAAACATATGAAATGCACATACTTTAACCCTCTTGAGAAACGTGCCAAAAAAAAAACACCTCCACCCTCGCCATCACGTTATTTTCGTCACTGCCCGTGCTTTCTTTACCCTGCCTACCAACGGCCCGTATTCCGAGCGTATCGGAGCATGGAAATCAAGAGTATAGTACGAGAGCGAATAATACGAGCTCAAACTATATGCAGCACGCATATATTCAAAGTTCCAACATACGGGTGAAAGGGAAATGAGGCGGGAGCAGGTGGACTCACAAGGTTTTGAGGCTGGTGAGCTGACTCCATGTCCCAGGCAGGCCTCCAAAAAACACGTTACTGCTCAAATCCCTGCCATGGCACAGGCACATTCAAACGAACAGGCGCGAGAAAATTTCAGAAAGGGACGATTTTACGACACCGCAAGAGATGATGCACACCTGGAGACAGACAGACATACAGACAGACAGACAGACAGACAGAGAGACAGACAGAGAGACAGGTTAGTCCAAGCAAACACAAAAACAAGGTAATCCAGGAGGAGTGTTGTTAGCTAAGGTTTAGTTCAGAGACGATGCGGTTCACGCCCACCGTACACACACAGGTGCTCCAGACCAAGCCAAGCCCGTGAACAGGCTGTAGTCACGTGGTATATCATTGTGTTTAGATGGTGAGGTTCACACACAGGTGCTCCAGGCCAAGCCAAGCCCGTGAACAGGCTGTAGTCACGTGGTATATCATTGTGTTTAGATGGTGAGGTTCACACACAGGTGCTCCAGGCCAAGCCAAGCCCGTGAACAGGCTGTAGTCACGTGGTATATCATTGTGTTTAGATGGTGAGGTTCACACACAGGTGCTCCAGGCCAAGCCAAGCCCGTGAACAGGCTGTAGTCACGCGGTATATTATTGTGTTTAGATGGTGAGGTTCACACACAGGTGCTCCAGGCCCGTGAATGTGCTGTAATCCAGTGGTAGAGACCCTTGAATGCGGTTGCCAGAGATTGCACTGCCATGAGGAGAGGGTATTGAGAGCGGTGCTGAGGTGAGGAATGGAGGACGAAGTTGAGAAGGATAGGTTGGAGGAGCATTGCTGAAGAAAGACGATTGGATAGCACTGTGGTGGCTGAGCCAGCAGCAGCACACGCACGCACGCATGCACGCATGCACGCACACATTGAGCACACACGCATACACATTTGAGCACGAACGCACACAGGAACACAGAACATGCGAATGTCCACATATAGGCACCGGCACGCACTCATGCACACCCGCCCGCCCGCACGCACGCACGCACGCACGCATGCAAGCACACACGCACGCACACATGCGCCAGGAAAGGCCCTCTCTCACAGTGACTTGAGGACTGAGAAGTCAGTGAAGCTCCCGGTCAGCTGCCCCTCCAGCAGATTGCTCTGCAGATTGCTGGCAAACACAGAGGAGAAAGCGCGGGGAACGGAGAGCAGGGGAGATAGCAATGCGTCATACCCAGGTGTGAGAGCAGCTGGTGGTACTGGCTGGTTACATTGGATGGATGGAACTACTTTTTAGAACTCTGAACAGTGGTAGCACAAATACAGGTGCAACAAGTGAACCTGATTCAGAGGCAAGGAGCTGCCGAAGCAACTCCCCTTCCCAATACATCGAGCAAATAATGAGAGGGCAGGCAGGCGCATTCCGGGCGGGCGTTTGATCACGATTCACGACCAACCAAACATGTACCAGCGCAGCGCATGCAACACCATCAAAGCCAGTGTGGAGGGGCATCCGAGCCGTCAACAACACAGCACCATACGTACATCTCTCCTGCAGGTTCGTGTTTTGAGTCGACTCAAAACACAAACCAGTGTGGAGGGGCATCCGAGCCGTCAACAACACAGCACCATACATACATCTCCTGCAGGTTGCTGACGCCGCTGCCCATAGTCGTCAGCACGAACGAGCTGCTTCTGAGAAATCTCAAAAGCCAGTGGTGGAGTGGTGGGATTACCACCAGAGTCGAGTCGTCAACAACACAGCACCGTACGTACATCTCCTGCAGGTTGCTGACACTGCCCATGGTCGTCAGCACAGGCCCAACAAAGCCGTTGTAACCCAGATTGCTGCACGCATGCAAAGGCAAAGGCGAGGGCAAAGACAAAGGCAAAGGAAAGGCGCAGTGCTGCTGCTCAGTAGGCAAGCTCGTACTAGGCATGACCCTAGGCCAGCCAGCTGGCAACCGTATAGCAGCTGGCAACGGTATAGCCAGCCTGTTGTGAGGCTGGGTCAGGCGGGCCCGTCACGGTTGACCCTGACTGACTGACCCAGCCAGGTTCAGTCAGCAGATGTCTGTCGCATGGAGGCGCGATTGGGGACCGACAAATTGGACCCAGACCTAGCCCGTTTCAAACCGAGGCCCGTCGAAGAGGCACGCGACGCGACTGCGTGCAATGCTTGTTTCTGGTGACTGTTTGAATGATTGATTCCCTGTAGAGGTAAAACAGCAAGGGACTTTTGCAGGAGAGTACATGCTGCGTGCATTCTTTTGTATGCTTGATTTTTCGATTCGTTGTTTGAATGATTGATTCCCTGTAGAGGTAAAACAGCAAGGGACTTTTGCAGGAGAGTACATGCTGCTTGCTGTCCTCGTATTCCTCCACTCCACACGCATACCACTAACCAGGTCACACATGCTCTAACAAGGCTTGAAATACCTAAAATGAACATTGTCTCATATTACTAAAAAAAAATATAGAACAGACTAGGCCTGGCCCAGCCTGTTTCGAGCCATGCATAGCCCATGATGGGCTGGGCTGGACTCGACCCTTCAAGCATGGGAAAACCAGCCCCGGGCCGGCCCTTGACTTGACCATGCCTGCCTAGTAAGTAGTACAGTAGTGGAAAGAACAAGAGTGAGGCAGGAAGAGAGGAGGAGGAGTAGGAGCGGGTATGGCAGGTATGCAGAAAGTGTGTGAAGAGGGAGGGTAGGGTAGACAGTGGGGATGCACACTGAGCAGGGGGCACACGGCTCACATGGTTGTCAAGCGGGTGAGAGCAGTGAGCAGCGGTAGCATTCCCGTGAAATTGTTGTGAGAGACATCCCTGCCGGACAGACAGCACAGCAGAACGGTGTTGAAAAACTGCCCCGCACTTCTTCACAGAGTTAGGCTCACCTCACCACAGCGTTCCTGCAAGCAGAACAGAAGCCTGTTGCACTCGCGAACAAGGACTAGCTAGCCACTGATGCTCTGCTGCAACAACGCACGAACGAACGAACGAACGAACGAACTAACGAACGAACGAACGAACGAACGAACGAACGAACGAACGAACGAACGAACGAACCAAACAGCCAGCCAGGCCGCGAGTCAGCCAGTCAGTTGCTGAGCCATCTGGACTGATACTATGGCTGGGAACTGGAAAGCAGGGGGAGGAGGGCAGCAGGGGAGAGCATGGCGCAGCATGGCATGATGCATGGCATGGCATGGTGGAGGAGGAGGAGGACGAGGAGGAGGAGGAGGAGGAGGAGGAGGAGGAGGAGGAGGAGGAGGAGGAGGAGGAGGAGGAGGAGGAGGAGGAGGACTGACAGGTGCTGGAGCGATGTGAGGGCTACGAAGGCCCCAGGGAAAAAGCCCATGATGTTGTTGAGGCTCAGGTCCCTGTGATGGGGTGGGGGGAGACAAAGAGGCAGTTTGAGAGGGTGGGTGGGTGGGTAGGTGGTGGTGGCGGTGTTGTGGAATGTGGTGATTGAGAATGGCCAAGCATTGTTAGAATACCATCCTCACTTGTAACCTGCATCTATCCTATAAGCTTCGGCTAGAGGTAGACACCCAAATGTAGTTTGGGTGTAGAACTAGGGCTAACCCTAGTTGGGGGTTGGAACTCAACACTTGGCCCAATTATTTGGCCCCCAAGGTTGGGTTGGGAATTATTGGCCCCCCCCAATAATGTTGAACCACTTTTGGTCAACATTATTTGTCCCCCCAATTATTCCTCAACCCAACTTATTGGTGGGGGCCAATAATGTTGGCTTGGTTCCAACCAAACCCTCCCTCCTAGCACAACTATGTATACCCCTTCTATTCCTAATATGATCAATGGTTCATCTTCACGTTTTCTCACAAGCATGTCATGACAAGATGTGCCTGCTTGGCGCATGAATGGTTGCCTGCCTGGCGCATGAATGGTTGCCTGCCTGGCGCATGAATGGTATGCTGCCGCACAGACAGCATGGGAGTTGACTAGGTGTGTGCAGTGTGGCCAAAAGTAGATACAGCAGGCAGAGAGCACAGCACAGCACAGAAAGGGCTGGTTGGGTGGTAGCAGGATGGTGGTAGCAGGGCAAGCATGGTGGTAGCAGGGCAAGCATGGTGGTAGCAGGTTGGGAGAATGACCTGACCATGGCTGAATGCGGACTGGCAGAAACCATGCAGAGTGCAGGACACGCTCACAATTCCAATACTGCAAGCAATGGCGGTGTCAGTGAATTTAGATATCCATAACATCTGGACTGGAGGACGAGAGAGGTCTTACAAGTGGCGCAAGACTGTGAGTGAGGTGACAATGTCAGGGGGCACGGAGATGCTGTTGCCACTCACATCCCTGCCACAGCACAACGCGCACACAACACACATGCAGAGTGTTGTGCCAGCAAGCAAGCAAGCAAGTACGGGCCACGACGCCACGCCGCGCGCATGCGGACACATGGAAACGGCATGCGAGCAACAGCACACATGTGGTCTCACACATGCGCGCACGTCGCACACACACATCCATTTCACGCACACATCCATGCACACACACATCCATGCATACACACATCCATGGACACACACATCCATGCATACACACATCCATGCACACACACATCCATGCATACACACATCCATGCATACACACATCCATGCATACACACATCCATGCACACACACATCCATGCACACAAACATCCATGCATACTCACATCCATGCATACACACATCCATGCATACACACATCCATGCACACACACATCCATGCATACACACATCCATGCACACAAACATCCATGCATACTCACATCCATGCATACACACATCCATGCATACACACATCCATGCACACACACATCCATGCATACACACATCCATGCACACACACATCCATGCACACACACATCCATGCATTCACACATCCATGCATACACACATCCATGCATACACACATCCATGCATACACACATCCATGCACACACACATCCATGCACACACACATCCATGCATACACACATCCATGCATTCACACATCCATGCATACACACATCCATGCATACACACATCCATGCACACACACATCCATGCACACAGGCACAAGAGAAGGCGAGCCGACAAAGGCTGCTTGCAGTAGTTGGAGCAGATCAATGCAAGTGTGTGCACCGCGCATGTGTAAGCGCGGGCGCGCACTTGTGCATGTGTGTGCATGTGTGTGTGCACCTGTGCATGTCCATGTATGCATGAACAGGACGCTTACAGGTGTTGCAAGGAGGGAGCAAAGGAGGAAAGGACGGGGGGAACTCCTGTCAGTTTGTTGTTGCCCAAGTTGCTGCGTGCAGGGGAGAAGTGGCGTAAGGGCGTGTCAGAGCATGGCGGGATGGGTAAGCACTGTGTGAACGAAGAGACATGGAAGAGACATGGAAGAGACATGGAAGAGACATGGAAGAGACATGGAAGAGACATGGAAGAGACATGGAAGAGACATGGAAGAGACATGGAAGAGACATGGAAGAGACATGGAAGAGACATGGAAGAGACATGGAAGAGACATGGAAGAGACATGGAAGAGACATGGAAGAGACATGGAAGAGACATGGAAGAGACATGGAAGAGACATGGAAGAGACATGGAAGAGACATGGAAGAGACATGGAAGAGACATGGAAGAGAGAGACATGGAAGAGAGAGACATGGAAGAGAGAGACATGGAAGAGAGAGACATGGAAGAGAGAGACATGGAAGAGAGAGACATGGAAGAGAGAGACATGGAAGAGAGAGACATGGAAGAGAGAGACATGGAAGAGAGAGACATGGAAGAGAGAGACATGGAAGAGAGAGACATGGAAGAGAGAGACATGGAAGAGAGAGACATGGAAGAGAGAGACATGGAAGAGAGAGACATGGAAGAGAGAGACATGGAAGAGAGAGACATGGAAGAGAGAGACATGGAAGAGAGAGACATGGAAGAGAGAGACATGGAAGAGAGAGACATGGAAGAGAGAGACATGGAAGAGAGAGACATGGAAGAGAGAGAGAGAGACATGGAAGAGAGAGGACATGGAAGAGAGAGACATGGAAGAGAGAGACATGGAAGAGAGAGACATGGAAGAGAGAGACATGGAAGAGAGAGACATGGAAGAGAGAGACATGGAAGAGAGAGACATGGAAGAGAGAGACATGGAAGAGAGAGACATGGAAGAGAGAGACATGGAAGAGAGAGACATGGAAGAGAGAGACATGGAAGAGAGAGACATGGAAGAGAGAGACATGGAAGAGAGAGACATGGAAGAGAGAGACATGGAAGAGAGAGACATGGAAGAGAGAGACATGGAAGAGAGAGACATGGAAGAGAGAGACATGGAAGAGAGAGACATGGAAGAGAGAGACATGGAAGAGAGAGACATGGAAGAGAGAGACATGGAAGAGAGAGACATGGAAGAGAGAGACATGGAAGAGAGAGACATGGAAGAGAGAGACATGGAAGAGAGAGACATGGAAGAGAGAGACATGGAAGAGAGAGACATGGAAGAGAGAGGGAAGAGAGACATGGAAGAGAGAGACATGGAAGAGAGAGACATGGAAGAGAGAGACATGGAAGAGAGAGACATGGAAGAGAGAGACATGGAAGAGAGAGACATGGAAGAGAGAGACATGGAAGAGAGAGACATGGAAGAGAGAGACATGGAAGAGAGAGACATGGAAGAGAGAGACATGGAAGAGAGAGACATGGAAGAGAGAGACATGGAAGAGAGAGACATGGGAAGAGAGAGACATGGAAGAGAGAGACATGGAAGAGAGAGACATGGAAGAGAGAGACATGGAAGAGAGAGACATGAAGAGAGAGACATGGAAGAGAGAGACATGGAAGAGAGAGACATGGAAGAGAGAGACATGGAAGAGAGAGACATGGAAGAGAGAGACATGGAAGAGAGAGACATGGAAGAGAGAGACATGGAAGAGAGAGACATGGAAGAGAGAGACATGGAAGAGAGAGACATGGAAGAGAGAGACATGGAAGAGAGAGACATGGAAGAGAGAGACATGGAAGAGAGAGACATGGAAGAGAGAGACATGGAAGAGAGAGACATGGAAGAGAGAGACATGGAAGAGAGAGACATGGAAGAGAGAGACATGGAAGAGAGAGACATGGAAGAGAGAGACATGGAAGAGAGAGACATGGAAGAGAGAGACATGGAAGAGAGAGACATGGAAGAGAGAGACATGGAAGAGAGAGACATGGAAGAGAGAGACATGGAAGAGAGAGACATGGAAGAGAGAGACATGGAAGAGAGAGACATGGAAGAGAGAGACATGGAAGAGAGAGACATGGAAGAGAGAGACATGGAAGAGAGAGACATGGAAGAGAGAGACATGGAAGAGAGAGACATGGAAGAGAGAGACATGGAAGAGAGAGACATGGAAGAGAGAGACATGGAAGAGAGAGACATGGAAGAGAGAGACATGGAAGAGAGAGACATGGAAGAGAGAGACATGGAAGAGAGAGACATGGAAGAGACATGGAAGAGAGAGACATGGAAGAGAGAGACATGGAAGAGACATGGAAGAGACATGGAAGAGACATGGAAGAGACATGGAAGAGACATGGAAGAGACATGGAAGAGACATGGAAGAGACATGGAAGAGACATGGAAGAGACATGGAAGAGACATGGAAGAGACATGGAAGAGACATGGAAGAGACATGGAAGAGACATGGAAGAGACATGGAAGAGACATGGAAGAGACATGGAAGAGACATGGAAGAGACATGGAAGAGACATGGAAGAGACATGGAAGAGACATGGAAGAGACATGGAAGAGACATGGAAGAGACATGGAAGAGACATGGAAGAGACATGGAAGAGACATGGAAGAGACATGGAAGAGACATGGAAGAGACATGGAAGAGACATGGAAGAGACATGGAAAATGCAAATGAAAAAGAGATCAAAGAGAGACAGAGACATGGAAGAGACATGGAAGAGACATGGAAGAGACATGGAAGAGACATGGAAGAGACATGGAAGAGACATGGAAGAGACATGGAAGAGACATGGAAAATGCAAATGAAAAAGAGATCAAAGAGAGACAGAGACATGGAGAAAACAGAAAAACACCAAAAACAAAAACAAAACAAAAAAAAACAGAAAAAACAACAACAACAACAACAACAACAACAACAACAACAACAACAACAACAACAACAACAACAACAACAACAACAACAACAACAACAACAACAACAACAACAACAACAACAACAACAACAACAACAACAACAACAACAACAACAACAACAACAACAACAACAACAACAACAACAACAACAACAACAACAACAACAACAACAACAACAACAACAACAACAACAACAACAACAACAACAACAACAACAACAACAACAACAACAACAACAACAACAACAACAACAACAACAACACTCACAGAGCCTTGAGCTTGCCAGCAATGGTTGCAATGGATTGCGAGGTGATACCGACAAAGCCATTGCCATTCAGGTTGCTGGCGGGAAGGGAAAGAGACGAGAGGCAGGGGGGCGAAAAAAAGCCAGTGGTACATTTCTAAGGATTTAGGATTCCCCAAAAAAAGAGTCCAAGCGGCAGCAGCAGCAGCACTATGTTGTGGGACACAAGGGTTCCAGGCAGAGATAGGGCGGATGCTCATGCAGTGTCAATAGTAGCAGATGGGGAGAACGCACACTGATGGGAGGTATGGTGATGAGATGGGAAAAATGGTGATGAGTGGCAGGCAGGCTCACACAGAGAGAGGCACGGCACGTACAGTTCTTGCAGGGAAGGCATTGAGAGTATGGTGGCGGGAAGTCGACCTTTGAGTCGACTCAAAAGTGATCTCGCAGAGAGGCACGGCACGTACACTTCTTGCAGGAAAGGCAATGAGAGTATGGCGGCGGGAAAACTCCCTGTGAATGTGTTGTCTGCCAGGTTCCTGACATGGCAGAGTGGACGGGCGGGATGTTGCAATGATGAGACGAGACGAGACGAGACGAGACGAGACGAGACGAGACGAGACGAGACGAGAAGAGACAAGACAAGACGAGACGAGACGAGACGAGCCGAGACGAGACGAAACGAGACGAGACGAGACGAGACGAGCAAGGAGGCAGAGGGCAATGGCAGGACTGCTTCGAGAACCGGTCTCGCTTGTGAGACGGCCGGACGGAAATGATAAAGAAAAATGACAGACAGGCGGTAAAAGTTCGAATGAAAGCGAGGGAAGCGCCTGCCAGCCACAGGTGGTGTGGTGTGGCAGACATGAAGCATGACACGCTGCATGCACGAGAGGGTGGTGGATGGAGATTAGGACACCACTCGAAGGCCTAATGGCCGAAACGCGTACGCCCAATTAGTACTTTTACTTCGAGACTTATCAAGTCCTGGTTTTCTACCCTTTTTTCCGGCTCTACAAAGCAACCCGCCTACTACACTTAACTGAAATTCTTACGGAGACCCACGGCTTGCTGCGGTTCGAAAGCTTTTTCTACAATGTGGCAGACATGAGGCATGGCATGCTGCATAAATGAGAGGGAGCGTGGTGGATGGAGATTTGGACACCACTCGTGGGAGCAGGTAGTAGTAATCAGTCAGCCAGCCCGACTCACAGGGTGGCCAGTGCAGACAGTTTCGTCAGCTGGCTGGGAAAAACAGGGCCAAGACGGTTCCTGCAAAGATTCCTGAATGGGAGGAACGGAAATTGGTGGAGAGAAAGATAGGGGAGGGAGGGAGGAAAACGAGAGCAAGGAGGGGAGAGGAGAGGGAGAGGAGAGGGAGGAGGAGGAGATACTTGATGAAGGGGGATAACGTAAATGGAGAACGTCGGTCCATGGATGCAAGTGGCACTGTATCGCCTGGATGGGAGTCGAGTCACTAAGCAAGATGCATGTACTCTATGAGAGCAGCATCCCCTGCAAGCAACCCAGGAGAAAATATTCCCCAAACAAAATATTCCCCAAACAAATTATCTCCCAAACAAAATATCTCTTGCAAACCAGGAAATCATGTTCCCCCCAGCCAACAACAACCCAGGGAATCATATTCCCCAGCCAACAAATCCCTTGCAACCCAGGAACTCGAATCAAACTGTGCTTTGAGAGCTCACATGGGCCTAGCAGGAGGAAGAAGGGACGGAGGTAGAGGAGGTGGGAGGGGAGGGGAGGGGAGGGGACAGCAGGAAGAACTTACAGGTCCACAAGTTTAGTAAAAGAAAAAATAGGGGCCGTAGGGAAGGCACCAGCCATTTTGGTGTTGCACGCATGCCTGACCCGAGGGCAGATGGGCAGATGGGCGGCAGATGGGCAGATGGGCAGATGGGCGGCAGATGGGCAGATGGGCAGATGGGCAGATGGGCAGATGGGCAGATGGGCAGATGGGCAGATGGGCAGATGGGCGGCAGATGGGCAGATGGGCGGCAGATGGGCAGATGGGCAGATGGGCAGATGGGCAGATGGGCAGATGGGCAGATGGGCAGATGGGCAGATGGGCAGATGGGCAGATGGGCAGATGGGCAGATGGGAAGGAGGGAAGGAGGGAGGAAGTAGGAAGGGAGGGCAACGGGAAGGGAAATCTAGCATGCCTGGACAGCTCATGAGCAATGGCAGCAGCAGCAGCACTAACTGCAATTCATGAGCAACAAGAGAAGTAATGTGCAGTTGTCGAGAAAAGAGGGGGCGAGAGGAGAGAGAAGTGGGGGAGCAGGGAGAACGAGGGGAGAGGAGTGTGTACAGAGCGGTGAGGGCAGTGAGTGGGCTGAGCTGGTTAGGTATCGTTGTGATGGGGGTGCCACTCAATGACCTGCCGGGGAAACGAGGGAATGCAATGGGGTGGAAGGAATGAGATGCAAGGGAACACGTGCAGCAGCAAGCTTGCAATTCCAAAAAAAAAAAAAAAAAAAAAAAAAACGGACGCATGCAAATGGGCGCATGCGAAAGGAATGGATGAGGAGCGTATGAACCACAGTGGGCCTATGCAGGTGGTTGAGTGCTCACAGGTGGCTGAGTGCTCTGCTCTCACAAGTGGCTGAGTGAGGCGATGGCGGAGAGGAGCAGCACGTCGCTGTTACTGAAAGAGCAGTTGTCCAGTGCCCTGCGAGGGGGCGTGCACAGCAATGGGATGCGATGGGATGGAGAGTGGAATGAGATGGGATGGGAATGGGATGGATGGATGGAACGGAAACAGGATGGGATGGGATGGGATGGGAGATGGAAAAGGGAAGGAATGAGATGAGATGGGATGGGATGGGATGGAACACGTGCATAAGATTGCACAGTGACAGCTTGACATGAAGTAGAAACCGAGAGAAGAGTACGACAAGGAAGGAAACACGTGCAGGACAGGACCCCAGCAGATGCAGCACGTGGCTCCTAAAATTAGCACTCCCTTTCTCCGTCTCCCACCAAACTCACCCTCCCCTCCCGTACTCCCACCATCCCCTCCCTCCCACCCAACAAGCAGTGGAGCAAGCACAACTCCCCAAGGGGTAAGGAGCTCCCACGGGCATAGGGAGGGAGCTCACAGGAAGGAGAGTCGCCTGATACTGGAAAAGGAGTTGGGTAAATTATTCAGCATCATGTTGCCTCCCAAGTCCCTGCAAGCAAGCACGGTGTTAGGGTGAGAGCACGACAAAGAGCAGTGGGGCGAGAGAGCGGGGGAGAGAGGGAAGGAATTGGGGCAAGAGAGTGGGAGCGAGAGGAAAAGAAGTGAGGCAAGAGAGTGGGAGAGAGAGAGAGCGACGAGACGAGTTGTTGCAAAGACACGAGAAAGGTGGAGAGGGGGGTCGGAAGGGCAGGCACGCTTGTGAGCAGGCTCTTGTTGAAAGCATGGTGTGAGGAAGGTGCGCGAGGGAATGATGGTGGGGGAGGTGTGTGAGGGAATGATGTGAGGGAGGTGTGTGAGGGAATGATGTGAGAGAGGTATGTGAGGGAATGATGTGAGAGAAGAGCGTGAGGGAACGATGTGTGAGAGGTGTTCAGTGATGGTCATCGACAACAGGGCGGGTGGAAGGAGGAGGAACAGAGGGGGGTAGCGAGGAGAGGGAGGAACGGAGCGAACGAGGAAGAAGTGTGTGTGGAGGGGAGGGGGGGTTGTGGTGAGGGTGGGGTAAGGGGGGAAGAAGAAGTGAAGAAGAAACGAGGGTCTTACAGGTGTTGCAGTGTTTGAGGTAATCCAGGAACATTTCCAATCATATTATTTCCTGAAATGTCTCTGGAAGAGTAAGAAAAAGAGCAAAAACATGGGAATAGAGGGATTGCGCGCCAATTCTACCCACACATAGCAGAATTGCTGAATCTGAATTGCTATCCTTGAGAGCCACAGCAGATTCGGCTGCTGTATTGTTGATTCGGCTGCTATGCAGACACACACTCACTATGGCACTGGGCTAAGCAACACGCAAATACAAACGGAGAGAGCTTCCCGGTCCCTTCCCCCGCCCTTCTCCCCTCCCCAGGAAAAAATGAATGAAAAAAAACAAAACAAAAAAAAAACAAAAAACCCGAAACCCCGAAGAAAAAAAAAATCTAATTTCCTTTGCTTCTTCTTTCACAGGTGCTGCGAGTGTTACTGCAGTCAGCGGGTGGTAGATTGAAAGGCCAACTGAGATGAACCAACCAGACTAGCTAGTAGGCAGGCACCTTCCCATTATTTTTTTCAACACCTCTCAGAGATCGCCTCATCACCTTCTCCCCTTCCTGCCTGGAGCCTCCTCTTGCACTGCCCTAGCCTAAGGAAGTGGGGGAATAGCTAGCTAGCTGGGCTGGGACTGTGGAGCTGCAGTGCAGGTCGGCTCCATTCGGATGCATGCATGTTCATGCCCACCCGCGTTTGAGGAGCCTCAAACGTGTTCCTGCCTACCTACCCTCTCTACGTGAATGCTTCTTGTTGTTGCTGCTCAGTGCTCGTTGACATGAAGGGCCAAGTGAGAAACGCCACGAGAGAGTCTTTTGAGTCGACTCAAGTAGAGTCACCTCGTTACAATGGCACACGACACATTTGCTGCTCAGTGCTCGTTGACATGAAGGGCCAGGTGAGAAACGCCACGAGAGAACGAGGGACTTACAGGTAGAGCAGCGATGGCGGTAATAAAGGGAAGACATCACTCATCCCAATTCCTGACATGTCCCTGGCAGAGCAGAGATAGAGAGAGAGAGAGCAAGGGGGAGGTGGAACGAGATTGTGGTGCCAGAGTTTGATACTGACTGACTCACCACTTCTGTCACGACTCAAGGCAGGGTGGACTGTGCAAAGCAAAACCTCCAGCAGAAATCTACTTTTGAGGCGCCACAAAAGTAGCATCCAGCAGAATTTGGGTCTGAAGATAATACCTCACCTCACTGACTGTGAAAATTAACATGCGACACTACTAGGCAGAGCAATAAATGCAACCGTTGAGAATATAGACAGCTGATTGTGTGTGAGAGTGACAATCACCTTAACAAGCCTCAGCACAGGATGAAAAGGGTGGAAACGCAGATGGACGCACAGAGGAGAGAAGCACACAAGAGTGAGTGGCACTTGAATGAACCTCCTAGAGAATGGGAGCTTTTCTCAACACCAGTCTCCAACCACACCCGCTGATTTTTTAGTCACTCAAAAAAAAAGTCTAGGAAATGGGAGCTCCACAACAGGGAGGGGGGCACGAGGAGGGGAGGGGGGCACGAGGGGAAGGGGGGCACGAAGAGGGGAGAGGGGCACGAGGAGGGGAGGGGGGCACGAAAAGGAGAGCAGGGCACGCGAAGGAGAGCGGGCCACTTACAGCACTCTGAGTGAGGCGAATCCGGTTAGAGGTGGGATCTCGGAGTCTGGCATCCTGGTGTAACTGATGTTGCTGTTATGCACGCATCCAAGCAAGCAAGCAGGCAAGCAAGCAGGCAAGCAAGCAAGCAAGCAGGGAAAGGCGGTGCAGGGATGGAGAAACAAGAAAAAGGGTTGTTTCGATTGAAGACACAATGGAGATGAGAGGAGTATGTGCTTGTACTCGAACATTTATCGATACAAAAGGACCGTTTGAGAGGGGCAATGAAAACACAGAGAGGGGAGGGGACACTAAAAGCAGCAAATCTGTTGCGGATGAGACCAAACAAAAGAGCGAGAGCAAGCGAGCCGGTTCACTTCAAACGAACGAGCGGGCCCCCGTTACAACGTTGTTGACTTTGTGAGAAATTGTGAGGAAGAACCATTGAGTTGATTAGGATAGATGGGGGTATACATAGTAGTGCTAAGAGGGGGGGGGTTTGGTTGGAACCAAGCCAACATTATTGGCCCCCACCAATAAGTTGGGTTGAGGGATTATTGGGGGGACCAATAATGTTGACCAAGTGGTTCAACATTATTGGGGGGACCAATAATTCCCAACCCAACCTTGGGGGCCAAGGTTTGAGTTCCAACCCCCAACTAGGGTTAGCCCTAGTTCTACACCCAAACTAAGTTTGGGTGGCTATCTCTAACCTAGGCTTATAGGATTGATGTAGGTTACAATGAGGATGGCAATCTGACACAACCCCTTAACCTACAGAAATCCATAAGCTTGGGAAGAGAGAGAGCAACAACCCCTGAATCAGCCACCGCGGGGAGCAAGTCCCTGGAGACGCAGAAGCGCAGAGTGGTCAGAGCGGTGGAGAGCCTTGGTGAAGAGATCGGCGAGGTTGTCGGAGGAGGCGATTTTGCGAACGGTGATGTGACCATCTTGGACAAGGTCGCGAACAAAGTAGTAGCGAAGCTCGATGTGTTTAGAGCGACCATGAAAGACTGCTTTCTTGGTGAGGTGGATGGTACTGTCGTTGTCACACCACAATGTGGGGCGGGGCTGTGGAGAGCCAAGGTCGGTGAGCAGATAGCTGAGCCAACGTGCTTCTTGAGCCGCCATCGTGACCGCGTACAGTTCGGCTTCGCAGGATGAGAGGGCAACGGAGGAGGAGCGGGTGGAGCGCCAACTGATGAGGCCGCCCCCGAGTGTGAAGCCATATCCTTGAGAGCTGCAACGGTCGGGCTGTGCGTCGGCCCAAGATGAGTTGCTGAAGCCTTGAAGAATGGGCGGGTTCACACCACCCAGAGTGAGGACATGGTCCTTCGTGCCCTGAAGGTAGCGAAGAACACGCATGGCCGCCTTCCAATGCTCTTCACCATGCCTGCCGGTGCCAACGAACTGCGCCAGAACACTGACTGGGTATGCAAGGTCGGGACGAGTGCAGACCATGGCGTACATCAGGGCCCCAACAAGTTCTGCATAGGGGTGAGGGGAGGTGACGGGAGTGGTGGGAGGGGAGAGCCGATGCCCGAATGCAAGTGGTGTGGGGATGGGTTTGCAGGTTTTCATGCCAAACCTCTCAAGAATCTTCTCGATGTAAAAAGACTGAGAGAGGGTGATGGTCTTGGCAGTGAGGTTGCGAGTGATCTCCATGCCGAGGTAGTTGCGAACCTCCCCCAGGTCTTTGCAGGCAAGGCGTTTCTGCAGCTCATCCTTGACCTCCTGGAGTTCAGCAGCTGTGTCAGCGGCCAGCAGCATGTCGTCGACGTAGACGAGGATGAAGAAGGGTGATGGGGTGAGGCGCAGGAAGAGGCAGGAGGCGGCACGGGAGGGGCGAAAGCCAAGTGCGCGAAGGGTGGAGGAGAGTTTGGCGTGCCATTCCCGAGGTGCTTGTTTGAGCCCGTAGACGGGGCGTAGCAGCTTCCAAACAGTGGTAGGGTCGTGAGGAGCGTGGAAGCCTTTGGGACGTTCCAGAAAAATGAGCTCATGAAGGTCGCCTTGTAGAAAGGCGGTGGTGACGTCCATGGAGTGAAGAATCATTCCACGTCTGCCAACAAAGTCCAAAAACACGCGAATGACCGGTGGAGTGGCGGTGGGTGAGTAGGTCTCGAAGAAGTCTGAGCCATAGGTCTGTATGAAGCCTTTTGCCACATATCGGTCTTTACTCGGAAAAGCCACCTGCCTTTGACCACGTTGTGCTTAGAGGGACGAGGAACGTCGAGAAACGAGCGGTTGCTGATGAAGGCGTTGCTCTCCTTGACCATGGCCTCGATCCAGAGAGGTGCATCAAGACAGGCAAGTGCTTGCTCATAGGTGGTGGGTTCGTAGATGGTGGGGGTGGTGGAGAAGAGAAGGACAGTAGTGCCAGCCATTGTGCGGACGACGGGGGCGATGGTGGGTGAGAGGAGGTGGAGGAACAGAAGCTCGTCGTGAGTCTTCAGAGAGGTCCGGAGTGAGAGGAGGAGGACGAGGAGGCGGTGGAGTTGCAAGACAGCTGCGTTGGAGGGTCGGGCCGATGCGGGGACACAGCTGCACTGGTGCTCTGCTGCGCTGAGGGTCGGGCGGGGAGACAGCTGCATTGCAGCTCGGCTTCGCTGAGTTGCCGTAAGGGGCAGGGAGACGGGAGCGCGACTGCTGAGAGAACCTGAGGTGCTGGTGCGGGGGGGAGGGGAGGTGCTATGGTGGCGGAGAAGGGGGATGGATGTGAGAGACTGGAGGGAGGGGGGGGTGGACCTGGGGGTACCAAGAATGGGGACCGTGGAGCGGGTGTGAGGGTAGTGGCGGAGTATGAGAGGGGGAGTGGGAAGTAGGGGCCGGGAGGATGGAGGTGGAGTGAGTGGGGGAGGGCGTGGGGAGGGGGGAGGTGGGGGATGTTGTGCATGGAGGGAGGGAGGGGAAGGAAGGGAGGGGCAGCGGGTGGGGAGGGAGGGGGAGGGGCAGCGGGTGGGGAGGGAGGAGGGACAGCGGGTGGGGAGGGAGGGTGGACGGGGTCAAGGATGTCTCCTGATGAGGCGGGGGGAGAGGGGGGAGGGGGTGGGGGTGCAGGGGGGACAATGGTGGGGGGGGGGGAGAAGGGAAGGGGAGGGGAGAGGGGGTGGGGGGGGAATGGTGTCAGTCCAGAGGAAGGGACGGGTGGTTAGAGGGAGGGGGTTAGGGGCTTTGGGGGAGGTGTAGTACGGGTGGGCTTCATCGAATTCCACATCCCGACTACGAATGAGGCGACCTGAGGGGGGATGGAGGAAGAGATAGTCCGGGGAGGAGGTGTTGTGACCAAGGAAAATGCAGGGGAGAGTGCAGGAGGCTAGCTTCCCAGCTTTGCGTGAGCGGTCGACAGGGTGTATGAGAACATACGCCATGGAACCCCACACGCGCAGGGGGGTGATGTTGGGCTTTTTGGATGTCCAGAGTGCGGTGGGAGTGGTGGTGGGCCGGGAGGGATGAGGGTACAAGTTAGTGAGGATGGCAGCGTGGAGGATGGCATAGCCCCAGAGAGAGGGCGGGCAGGAGGCATGGACCATGAGGCACCGAGCAGTCTTGGTGACCTCACGGACCCTACTTTCCGCCACGCCATTCTGCTGAGGGGAATGAGGTAGGGTGTAGGTGTGAATAATGCCACGAGTGGTGCAGTAGGATGAGCGCATGTTGTTAACGAACTCACCACCGCCATCAGAGTGGAAGCGGGAGACAGGGCGTTTGAAATGGGTGCGTGCTTGTTCAGCCCAAGCAAGAATAGCAGCCGGGGCCTCCGCCTTCGTGCGAAGGAGGGAGACGGAGGAGTAGCGGCTGTGGTCATCCACCAGGATGAGCAGGTATTTATGACCTTGCCTGGTGGGGGAAGGGTTGGGGCCCCAGAGGTCCATGTGGACGAGATCAAGAGGCTTGGGAGAAAAGGAGGGATGACTCTTGTGGGGGGCCTGTTTCAGTTTGCTTTCAACGCATACTGAGCAGGGAGGGGAGGGTGATGGGGGGAGAGAGGGAAGGGTGAGGGGGAGTCCGTCGAGGAGTTGGGTGGAGACAGTTTGACGGAGGGTGGCAAAGTTGGGATGACCCAACCTATGGTGAAGGAGAACTGCGGGGTGGGTGAGGTCACGACAGTGACAGGAGGAGGTGGGGGAGGGGGGGGGGGGGGGGGAGGAGGGGAGGGGAAGGGGGAGGAGGGGATGGGGGAGGGGATGGGAGGAGGGGAGGGAAGGGGGAGGGGAGGTGAGGGAAGGGGAAGGGGTGAGGTGGGGGCGATGAGGTGGTGAATGGAGGTGCGAGGGGTGCGGTACGTGTACAGGTTTGTGCGAGGGCAGAGGGGAATGCGACAGATGAAGCGACCAGTAGTGGTGTGAAAGAGGTCGCAGTGGCGTGCATGACCGGGGAAGAGGGCGGTGATACCGAACCTGGTGAGGTCACACAGTGCTACCAGATTGTTGCGTAGGGAGGGGATGTATAAACCTGTGACTGTACCTGAGGGGAAGATGGGACAGGGGAGGGTGGAGGTGTGTCGACTTGTGATGGTGAAGCTGGAGTCAGCTCCGTGGATAGTGGAGGGAGTGGAGAGGGGTACCAGTGTGCCTGCATCGCGCAGAACAGTGTGTGTCGCTCCACTGTCAAGGATAAACTCAAGGCATGAAGAGGAGGAGGAAAAGGCGGAGTACTGGAAGAAAGACTCATTAATAGCATCGGCATACAGAGAATCAGCAGGAGCAGTGCTAACATGTCCTATGAATCCAGCAGAGGGGAACGGAGTAAAGCCAGGAGGGTTGGAGGAGGAGGAGGGCTGGTCAGCAAGATTAGCAGCAGGTCCAATAGGTCCATGACCATATCCAGGGGGTGGGTAAGGAGGGTAAGGCCAGCCAGCATAGGGTGGAGGGTAGTGAGGGGGGGGGGGTTTGAGGCGGAGGTGTGGGTGGAGGAAGAGTGGGAGTGGGGGTGGATGAGGGGAGAAGATGCTGGACTTGCTGGAGGATGTGAGATGGGAGATGTTGAGTGAGGACATTGTGGAGGTTGGGGGTGGAGGGTTGATAGGCGGGGAGAGTGCGGATGTCATGGGGAGAGGGGCGTGGGAAAATAGTGTTCCAGCGAGGTGGGGTGCCAACATTGCCACGAGCAAACCATTCGTCAGTGAGGGTTTTGAAGCACGTGTCACTGGTATGAGTGGTCTGTGAGCATGGCTGACCTTTGTTGGAGCCATAGCGAATGATGTACTGACACGGGGGAGCGTGCCCGAAGGTGAGGGGTGTCCGCCACGCCCACCACGGCCACCACCACGGCCACCACCACGTCCTCCTCCTCGCCCACCACCACGTCCACCTCCACCACTGCCAGTACCGCCGTGGCCGCCACCTCCGCCGCTGTTCTGGTTGCTTGAGGGGGCTTGCGAGTCTGTACTGCATTGATAGCGGTGGAGTCACGTTGAAGGTCGGCTTCGCTGTCAAGAAGCCACTCGATGGTGTCAGTCACAGGAGGAGGGTGGCAGTAGCGGGAGGTGAAGGTGATGCGGTATGAGTCATATGTGGGGGGGAGGCAGTCGAGAATGCGTGCAGTGAGGAGAGACTCAGAGATGACAATGCCTCGATCGTTGAGGCGTTGTACAGTATCAATGAGGCGGCGGGTGTAGGCAGCAGCAGTGGGAGAGGAGTCAAGGGTGGTGTCTTGGAACTTGCGAAAGAGCGCAAGGAGGGAGCGAAGATCCTGTCGATCGTACTCAGTAGAGAGGGTTTTCCAGAGGCCAGAGGAGGAGGTAGGACGGAGGTCGCGTTTGAGGTGTGAGGGGATGCAGGAGAAGATGATGGCGAGTGCGCGGCGATCCGCAACACGCCATGCTGCGACATCCTTGTGAAGTTTGCGTAGCTCCTCAGCATGATCCCTCTCATCTTTTTCGTACTGGAGGATGCGTGCAGCGGCGACAGCATGTGCTTCCTCAGCAACACGGTATGCTTCACGCTAGATGGTGTAGGTGTCACATAGCTTGTTGTAGTTGTTCAAGTTGGCCGCCCAGCGATCCGGGTGATCATCATGAACTGGAGGATTGGGGGGGGGGTCAAAAGGTTCTGGAAGTGGAGGGGCATCGAGGGGGGGGGGATCAAGAGGAGGAGGGAGAACGGGTGGAAGGCCGTTAGAGGTTTCAAGGACTACGTCAAGGAGACAGTAGTCTTGGATGATGACAGAGCCAAGGTGGGTGTGGAGTGTATCCTCGAACGACGCCCAGTTTACAGCGGTGGTATCATGAAGGAGCTCGAGCTTGTCGATAGCTCCGAGCTCAATGGGAGTAGAGTCGTCCGCCATGAGGGGGAGGAGGGGGGAGGGGGTGACGACACCGGCTGGAGGGCGGGTGCGGTTAATCGGGGTGACGACACTACCGGGAGGGGTGGTGCGGTCGAAGGGCTGCGCCTAGTCGCGTTGATCACAGTTGCGCCTGATCGCGTCGCCCACGGCTGTGTCAGGTCGCGTTGCCCGTGGTTGCGCTTGGTCGCGTCGCCCGCGGCGGTCGCCTCCGCTGGTCGCGTCCGCGGCGGTCGCCTCCGCTGGTCGCGTCCGCGGCGGTCGCCTCCGCTGGTCGCGTCCGCGGCGGTCGCCCGCGTTCGTCGCGTCCGCGGTGGGCGCCCGCGTTCGTCGCGTCCGCGGCGGTCGCCCGCGTTCGTCGCGTCCGCGGCGGTCGCCCGCGTTCGTCGCGTCCGCGGCGGTCGCCCGCGTTCGTTGCGTCCGCGGCGGTCGCCCGCGTTCGTCGCGTCCGCGGCGGTCGCCCGCGTTCGTCGAGTCCGCGGCGGTCGCCCGCGTTCGTCGCGTCCGCGGCGGTCGCCCGTGCAACCCTAATCCGCGGCTAGCGCCCGCGTTCGTCGCGTTCGCGGCGATCGCCCCCGATTAGGGTTTCGTCGATCGCGGTAGTCGTTCCGACGGTTAGCGTGCTCGCGGGAGAGAGGGGAGGGCCGTAAGTGGCGGAATTGACCTTAGGAAGGGGGGGAAGGGTGCTGAAAATTAAGCGCGGGGAGGGGGGGCCGTGACGGCGTCGGAGCGCACTTGGCGCTAAGAGCGACCTAGTTGTCGCGTGAGGGAGGGGGGCGTGTTAAGGCACGCGGAGGTGTGGTTCTTAGGATCGAAGAAGGTGTGAGCCGTGTTTGCTCTGATTACCATGTGAGAAATTGTGAGGAAGAACCATTGATTTGATTAGGATAGATGGGGGTATACATAGTAGTGCTAAGGGGGGGGGGGGTCGGTTGGAACCAAGCCAACATTATTGGCCCCCACCAATAAGTTGGGTTGAGGGATTATTGGGGGGACCAATAATGTTGACCAAGTGGTTCAACATTATTGGGGGGACCAATAATTCCCAACCCAACCTTGGGGGCCAAGGTTTGAGTTCCAACCCCCAACTAGGGTTAGCCCTAGTTCTACACCCAAACTAAGTTTGGGTGGCTATCTCTAACCTAGGCTTATAGGATTGATGTAGGTTACAATGAGGATGGCAATCTGACAGACTTCACTTCACTTCACAGCATAGCGTTCTTCCGTGTTTCCATGCGTACGCACGTGCAGCGCCCAACACAACAGCCGACGGGGATTCGACTCGACACACCTTCCCTTCCCTTCCTTTCCCCGCATCAAATCACAAGCCCACACTTGCTTGCCATCATGTTGTGCCATTGCTGCCTCGTATCTCGTCTGCTACCACTACACAATACAAACCCCATACTATACTACACTACACACAACACACACAGACTAAAACACAGCGAGCTATCTGCACAACCTTCCTTTTTCAACAAGCGCCATAGACCGGAAAGGTGCAGTGAAAAAACAGGGGCCAAGCCAAGGAATACGAATACCCCCCACCCACAGGTGCTCAAGGGTGGAAGGGCTGGCAACTTCTGACCCGCCTCGGGCCAAGGCAAGGCAAGGTAAGGCGAGGCAAGGTAAGGCAAGGCAAGGCAAGGTAGGTGAGGCAGAGAACGCACAGGTTCTGGAGGCTGAAAAGGCTGGAATAGGATGCAGGAAAGCCGCCGCCTACGAGGTTGTTCGCCATGGATCTGCAAGATGTGGGGTTTCGTTGGGGTTTCGTTGGGGTTTCGTTGGTGTTTCGTTGGGGTTTCGTTGGGGTTTCATTGGGGTTTCGTTGGGGTTTCGTTGGGGTTTCGTTGGGGTTTCGTTGGGGTTTCGTTGGGGCTTCGTTGGGGTTTCGTTGGGGCTTCGTTGGGGTTTCGTTGGGAGGAGCAACAGGCTCGGACATTGCCTGAATATGACCTTGCTTTCTTGAAATTTCGACTTGACTTCATTATACAAAGGGCCAGTTGGACCAGAGAGGGGGCGGGCGATTCATGAGAAGGGTGGCGAGAAAGAGAGGATAATGCGAGAAAAAATAGGGTCTTTGGAGAGAGGAGGAGGGGGATTAATGGCACACCATGGGGGAATGTTTTGCAGAATGAGACTGGGGAAGAGACATAGATACGCTAGGGCAATGGATTGATGGCGAGGATGAGAAGGAGGAGGAGGGGGAGGGGGAGGAGGAGGAGGAGGGGGAGGGGGGGGAGGAGGAGGAGGAGGAGGAGGAGGAGGAGGAGGAGGAGGAGGAGGAGGAGGAGGAGGAGGAGGAGGAGGAGGAGGAGGAGGAGCAGCAGCAGCAGCAGCAGCAGCAGCAGCAGCAGCAGCAGCAGCAGCAGCAGCAGCAGCAGCAGCACAGCAGCAGAAGCAGCAGCAGCACAGCAGCAGAAGCTGATAATCACTATGGGACGATGAAGCATTGAAACAGCAGGGAGACTTGAGGGTGGTACAGCAAGTGGTAAGACGAAGAATAGACGTTGGGCGAGAGACTGGGTGAAAGGCTGACTGAGTGAGTGACTGCGTGAACGAGTGACTGATTGGGTAAGTGAGTGAGTGACTGAGTGAATGAGTGATTATGGGTGACTGAGTGAATTAGTGAATATTGAATGAGTGGCCAGGAGCATGTGTGACTGACATGGTGACAATCTTAGCCGCGTTGATTTCGGGGAAGTTTGCTGTGAACTGGTTGTCGTTCAGTAGACTGATGGTGCACGCATGGCAGCACACACAGCACAGCACCGCACAGCACCGCACAGCACCGCACAGCACCGCACCGCACCGCACAGCACCGCACAGCACAGCACAGCACCGCACCGCACCGCACAGCACCGCACCGCACAGCACCGCACAGCACCGCACAGCACCGCACAGCACCGCACCGCACCGCACAGCACAGCACAGCACAGCACAGCACAGCACAGCACAGCACAGCACAGCACAGCACAGCACAGCACCACGCACCACAAAGCACAAGTGGCAGAAGTTGGGAAAAGGATGCAAGAGAAGACATGATCTGAGAAGGTGGACACGGGAATGTACTGCCTGCCTGCCTGCCTGCAGGAGGAGGTACAAGGCATTTGAGAATTCTCAAAAGCTGCAGGAGGTACAAGGCAGCAGCAGAGCAGGTCACTAAGCAGCAGCAGAAGCATCAACAGATTCAGCAGCATAAGTAGTTGCTGCAACAACAGCAGCAGCACTGGATATTGCTGCAGCAACAGCACTGCCAGCAGCAAGAGCGGAACAGCAATGAAAGTAGCAGCAAACGCTGTTAAAACAGATGCGTCAGACGAACAGCGGTGATTGTGACAGCACAGAAATTGCAGAAACAGCAACGGTGTATGCCTGTTACAGTGGCAGGGGAGTGGCAGCAGCAGAGCCAGAGATGGGGACATGGAGAGACACAGGGACAGACACAGGGACCGACACAGGGACAGGGACGGGGAAAGAGGCAGAGACAGGCACAGGGACGGAGCCAGAGACAGAAACAGGGACACGTACCGAGATAGAGACAGGGAGAGGGACAGGGACCAAAAAAGGGCTGGACAGGGATGGGGATGGGGGTGAGAAAAAGTAGGAGGAGCAAGAACCAGAGTGAAGTGAGCGTGTTGACTCACAAATGCGTGAGTCTCGAAGTAGATGGCACATCGGGGATGCTGCCAAACAGTGCGTTGTACGACAGGTCCCTGCATGCACACGCACACACACACACACGCACACACACACACACACACACACACACACACACACACACAGGCAACTCTTGACTCTTGAGATGACGTTTAAGATGCCTTGCAGCACAACACATCAGGGATGCTGCCAAACAGTGCGTTGTATGACAGGTCCCTCCCTGCATGCACGCAGGAGGGGCGACCTTTTGAGTCGCCTCAAAAAACGCAACAAAGATGCTGCCAAATAGGGTGTCGCCACTGCTTGATATTGGACCTAATGCAACGCCGACATAAAGCAGCTGCGGCGGCGGCAGCAGAAGCAGCAGTGCCACGTCACGTCAGCATACTGAGCCGAGATTACACTGTCTGTCTGTCGGGTGTCTTGTCTATAATAATCAAGGTCGTGGATGCAGGGAGGTGATGTGATGTGACGGGAGGAAGAAGGAATGGCTTGAATCGAGGTGTGCACTCTCTTTCACCAATGAATATTGTGCCAGTGGAATCTTTTTTAGAATCCAATGAGTGGGGTGCGGTACGTACAGGATGCGCATAGCAACAAATCCCACCCACGAGATTGGGATAACGCCAGTCAGTTGGTTGCGCGACGCACGGCTGAGACAAGGAGAAGGGCAATGCACGAACGGGGCATACACGCCGGCATGCAAACGGGGCAGGGCAGGTGGGTGGGGGGAAGGAGAAAACGGGGGGAACAGGAAGAGGGGCCGTTGAAAAGATCGGACAAGGGAAGAGAGAATAAGCCGCTTGGCAATAGATGGTTTGATGGATTTTTTTTATTCTCACGAAACATATTTGGACAGGGAAGCAAGCATGAAACAAGGAAAGGACTGTTTGAGCAAAAAGAACAGAACAAAAACAAAAAGACTCAGCTGCTGTTGCTCACAGTTCTTGAAGCACGGTGAGCTGAGTCCACGAGTCGGATAGAGGGCCTGAGAAGCGGTTGCTGTCAAGCGATCTGGACGACCAGCACCGCACCGCACCGCACCGCACCGCACCGCACCGCACACACATGACAGGAGGAGCAGTACAGTTCATTACAGACACATTTTTGACAGGTGAGTTGGTGGGAGGGCTGGCTGCGGCAGGCAGGCACAGAGGTGGTTCTAGAATAGAACCTTTCTTTGCAGGGATATGCAAACCAAAACCAAGTTTGAGTGAGTATGTCTGCTCCAGCAGACTAGGGGTATGCAAGTATTCCGACGGAGGGCTGCGAACGCCATTCACGAATGAATTAATGAGCAATTGGTGTTGCAGGAGATGAGAGATTCTCTATTACTGAGTATGTCTGCCGAACAAGAAGTGAGGTGACAGACACACGAGACGAGACGAGAGGGTGTGCGTGTGCCAAGCAGTGAGGTGAACATCACCGGCCGGGCCGCTCAACAACCACAGGAAATGCTTCTGCGCCAGCCAACTCAACCACAGGAATGGCGGGCCACTCACAGGATCTCCAGGCTAGACAGCGACGCGTACTCCATAGGAAGTGAGCTGGAGAGCAGGTTATTGGACACCGCGCTGGGGGTGGAGTGGGACGGGGTGGGGTGGGGTGGGGTGGGGTGGCTTGGGGTGATATGAGGAGCGTGGTGCATGAAGGTAGTAGGAGTGCTAGCAAGGTGGAGTTGAAGAGAGGATGAGCAGGAGAGGGGAACGGAGCAGGCCAAAGGAGGAGGAGAGCATATACATGAGCAAACGACGATCTGACCCTGCTTTTCAACCAGTCGGGTCACAACAGGTGCGAAGACCCTGGCCCAGGGTCTCGGGTAGGCCCGTAGGGATCAGATCGGGTTGAGCCGAGACCGGGATTTTTGTTTTGTTGGGTATTACCGACCCATTGGGTCGGGTCGACCCACGACCCGGCTTAACCTGTCAAAGCCCTGTGCATGCACACACCCCTTCACATGCACCCTTCTTACACACACCCCTTCACATGCACCCTTCACATGCACCCTTCACATGCACCCTTCACATGCACCCTTCACATGCACCCTTCACATGCACCCTTCACATGCACCCTTCACATGCACCCTTCACATGCACCCTTCACATGCACCCTTCACATGCACCCTTCACATGCACCCTTCACATGCACCCTTCACATGCACCCTTCACATGCACCCTTCACATGCACCCTTCACATGCACCCTTCACATGCACCCTTCACATGCACCCTTCACATGCACCCTTCAAATACACGGTGCACCTCAACCACACACGTGAATCAACTCAAAGGCAGTGCGAGAGGCAAGGGGCACTGACAGCGAGGAGAGCAAGGTGAGCACGCTGAGCTCCACAGGCAAGCTGCCTGTCAGCCGGTTGCCCTGCAGCTGCCTGAAAAGGGCGATGGGGAGTGATGGGGGGTGATGGAGTGAGGATGTGAGGCGGTGAGGGAGTCAGGGTGTGTGTGAGGTGTGCGGGTGTGAAGGTGTGAGGGAGTGAGGGTGTGAGGGGGTGATGGTGCACGAGGGGAGAAGTGGGATGTGGGATGAGAGGACAGAAATGTGAGGGGGAGGGTGAGAATGGGAGGGGGTGAAAGCGGGAGTGAGGTGAGGGGTTTTAGTGGTTAGGTGAAGAGCATGTGTGATTGCTGCGCTGCTGCACCTTTACATAGAGCACTTGCTTGCGTTGCGTGAAATAAACTGAACATAAGCCATTAACTACATTTTAATCCCACAAACTAACCTATGGAGTGGATAATAAAAGCGAGGCAGCCTCTTAAGGGGACAAAATAAGGGGGAAGGGTCGAAAAAGGGGGAAGGGGGAAGGGGGGGGGGGGAAGAGGAGATCGGGGAAAGAAGGGGAGGAAGAGGGGGAGGGAGAAAGGAAGGGGGTGGTATCAAACTCCAGCTGCTGTCTGTGATGAGTGCAACTACTTAATGAAAACAACATGTGCCGGCGGCGTGCTAATATGTATCTATCGCTTTGAGGAAACACGGATGGAGAGAATAGTGTGGTGTGGTGTGGTGTGGTGCGGTGCGGTGCGGTGCGGTGCGGTGCGGTGCGGTGCGGTGCGATGCGATGCGGTGCGGTGTGGTGCGGCGCGGTGCGGTGCGGTGTGGTGTGGTAAGGTGTGGTGTGGCGTGGTGCCTACAGCTCTTGAAGCCCAGTCAGGGCGGAGAACTCCGGAGGTATGGGTCCAGCGAGCTGGTTGCCACTCAAGTCCCTGCCATGACATAAAGCCACGGAGCCAAGCCACCAAGTCATGGAGGCATGAAGGCAAGACAGGGTAAGAAGGCGTGAGCGAGCCAGACACGAGGAGATATGTCACATCTCACACGTACGCACAAAGCGGATTCTGATTCTGTCTGACTCCGGCTTGACACTCAACTGGGAAATAATGGGAGCTGAGCTCAGCTCATGCCCCAGGCACTGAGGTGGAGCGGGAAAGATATGACAATGAGAAAGGAAGGGGGTGGTAGCGAGAGGGTTCTCGTTGGAGCGTGTGACAATGAGAGAGAAGGAGAGGATGGCGGGTGTGCATAAGGGGAGGAAGGGCGAGAGGGAAGGAGAGAGGGAGGGGAGGGGGAGAGAGGGACAGTGGGAGGGAGGGAGGGATAGGAAGAGGAGGCACAAAGAGCTGGAGGAGTGCCATGGCTCACAGGCTGGTAAGGGAGGTGAGTCTGCTCAAATCTGCTGGTATCCACCCGTCTAACTCGTTGCTCCCAATATGCCTGCACAACATGGGATGGATGGGATGGATGGGACGGGGGCATACGAAGCGAGAGAGGCACAGTGGCACATGATCGGATGGGAATACAGGGCATGGCAGGAGTGGTATGTCACCAATTCTCTATGGAGAGGCATAATATGGCATGGCATGGCAATGGCATGGCATGGCGTTGTACGGCATGGCGTGGCATGGCATGGCTTGGCATGGCATGGCATGGCATGGCGTGGCGTGGCGTGGCGTGGCATGGCATGGAATGGAATGGCATGGCATGGCATGGCATGGTAAGGCATGGCATGGTATGGTATGGCATGGTGAGCTTACAGCTTCTGAAGATTGGTGAGAACGGACAGTGCAGGAGGTATGGATCCCGTTAACTCGTTGCTCCCTACATCCCTGCGAGCGAGCGAGCGAGAGAAGGGACAAGAACCAGAGGAGAAAAGAACACCGGGGTGAGCTTGAGGAGGGTAAATGGTTCCAGCGAATTGGTGCTGCGGATTGTGTGTGAGAGTTGGTGGCTTAAAGGTTATGAATAGCCTTACGACCATCACCGGTAAGGATGGCTAGTGGAGACACTCCGATGCAAAGAGCAGAGAGTGGGGCAGAATAGGTACTGGTGGGAGCACGAGAGGGGTGCGAAGGGGGTTGGGGAGAAGGGGAGAAGAGAAGGGGAGAGGTGGGGAGGGAGGAACAAGTGGGGCAAGATTTGAGCGTACAATTCTGTGAGAGATCCGAGGATGTTGAGGAAGAATGGCAGGTCACCGTTGAGCTGGTTGTCTCTGAGGGATCTGTTGAGACCGCAGGATGCACGCACGCACACATGCATGCACGCACACACACACGCACACATGCATGCATGCACGCACACACGCACGCACACACACATGCATGCACGCAGACACACATGCACGCACGCACACACGCACGCACACACACATGCATGCACGCACACAAGCACGCACACACACATGCATGCACGCACACACGCACGCACACACACATGCATGCACGCACACACGCACGCACACACACATGCATGCACGCACAAACGCACGCACACATGCATGCACGCACACATGCACGCACGCAATCATGCACGCACGCACGCACACATGCACGCACGCACGCACTCATGCACGGACGCACACACACACAGAGGCATGCACAACCATGTGAGAATCAATTTGCACCACGACTGTAGCATCTGTTTTTGTACATGCTACATATTACCAGCACAGGTGCGTACTACTATGCACAGCACAAACATCACCTGACGCATCAATCAGCATTCTCCGTCTCTTCCTTGGCCCTCCACACCACAGCACTCGCAGCACTGCACAGCTGCTACTGGCACTCACAGCATTTTGAGGGCGATGAGCCCTGTGATGGCCCCTGGGATAAACCCTGTGATGTTCTGCGAATCCAGCACCCTGCATGCAGCACCCGCCACCGTGCAGACAAGGGACGAGCGACGGGGAAGAGTGGGAGCGCACACATTCAGACTGTCTCTGAGACATTTTTCAAGAGTGGCTACGGAGACACTGGGACTGCGGAAAGAGCGTGACGAAGATTCAGATGAGCGAAAAAACGGGAAGCTGCAGGGAGGCGTTCCTAGGAAGGCAGGCAGGCGGGCACGGAGGTAGGCAGGCAGGGAGGCAGGAAGGGAGGCAGGCAGGCAGGCAGGCAGGCAGGCAGGCAGAGAGGCAAGCAGGGAGGCAAGCAGGGAGGCAGGCAGGGAGGCAGGCAGGCAGGCAGGCAGGGAGGCAGGCAGGGAGGCAGGCAGGCAGGCAGGGAGGCAGGCAGGGAGGCAGGCAGGCAGGCAGGGAGGCAGGCAGGGGGCCAGGCAAGGGGGGAGGCAGGGGGGGGAGGCAGGGGGGAAGGCAGGCGGGCAGGGGTGAGGCAGGCAGGCAGGCAGGCAGGCAGGCAGGCAGGCAGGCAGGCAGGCAGGCAGGCAGGCAGGCAGGCGGGCAGGCAAACAGCGGGGGAGGGCAGTTAGCAGACAGGCTCTGGATGAATTCGTCGTGCTCGTCGCACACCACGCCTACCAGCGCAGCACGCACGGAGGGAGGAAGGGAAGGAGGCAGGGGGGCAGGCACGCAGGCACGCAGGTAGGCAGGCAGGGAGGCATGGAAGGAGGCATGCGGGCAGGGAGGGAGGCAGCTGACAGGCTCTGGATGAAGTCGTCGTGCTCGTCGCACACCACGCCCACCAGCGCATCGCACGCCGCTCCCGCTGTCCACGACGCCGCCGCTGGGAACGCGGATCCCCACTCCTTCTTCAGCGCCTCCAGAATTTGGGCTGGGGGGGAGGCGGAGTGGGCGGGAGAGTAAGGGGAGAGGTGTGGTGGGGGAGTGGGGAAGGGTAAGAGGTGGGGGAAAAGACGTCAGGAGAAGGGGGGACAGACGTCGGAAAGCAGTGGGCGGGGATTGGAAGAGAGAGGGAGGGGAGAAGGGCGGGGGAGAGGGCAGACGGACGGGGGGGAGGGGGGAACGCAGGGAACGTGAGGTGCAGTGGGAGAGGTATGGACGTGGCGAGCAGGAGGAGAGAGGGCAAGCAACATGGAGAGGAACAGGAGAGAGGAGTGCCGGGACAGGGAAAAGCAAAGTACTCGGGAAGAAGGGAATAGGAACGGCAGGGAACGCAGTAGGAGGAGGAGGAGGAGGAGGAGGAGGAGGAGGAGGAGGAGGAGGAGGAGGAGGAGGAGGAGGAGGAGGAGGAGGAGGAGGAGGAGGAGGAGAACGAGGAGGAAAAGGCGGTCGAGGAGGAAAGTACGTACTTTGACTATCCAAGGGGGCCTTACTAGCCGCTGCAACCAAGGGGCCAAAGAACGCGCTGCTGCTGCTGTTGAGCACTGCAGCCACAGCTAACACGGCCGCCCACACATTCCACGAGAGCACAGAGCAGTGCACAAACCCCCCTGTTCGAACCCTCCCCCGCCATGCTCGTCCGGCCTGCAGCCGTCGTCCGCTGAACCGCTCACCACCCCTCTCCACCCCCCCGGAGTTGCTCTCCCCGGTCTCCTTTCGATGTGACTTGAACGTGGTCTGTGGCGCCTGCTGATGAGCCAACGCAGGGGACGAGCCACGCCTGCCGTTTCTTCTAAGGGGGTGTGCGGGCTCTAGCGCTCGCTTGCTACGAGCTGCTTCGGTACTGCTGCAAACTATCAAAGGAGCAGCAGGAGCAGGAGCAGGAGCAGGAGCAGCGCGGCGGTGTGCAGACATAGGCGCGATGGACGAAAGCATGCCAGCGTCGATGCTGCCACTGCTATCAACTGTGCTGCCACTGCTACTACTGCTACAAGCCCCGCTGCTTCCTCTACTAGCACATCCACTACCAGCACACTCACTACTAACACACGTGCTACTACACCTGCTCCTCCTAACCCGGCTGCTAATAACACGACAGCTACGGTTGCCGCCGCTGCTAACACTAGCACTGAGACCAGCGCTGCTGGTACCCATACTGCCACCACAGCCACCGGGACACCCTATACGCGCCCTCCCCTTTCTGCCGCCACCGCTTCCAACCTCTGCTCGCCCCTCTCCACCCATGCCGAGCATAGACTCTGCTGCCTCTCCCTCTGTGCCCCGGCTTCCCACGCCCTGTCCCCCGGGGGCGAGAGGGAGAGTTTATGTGTGTAATGGGACAGGGGAGGGGAGAAATACGGGAGGATGAGGGCAGAGAGTGAGATGGAAGATGGTGTGAGGGGGAGGGGGGGCGATGGGGGGAGAAGGGAGTGGGGAGAGAGGCGGTCGGGGAGTTATTGTGACGCCGCCAGATTGCGATCATTGCGGGTGTGGCCGAAACGACTTTTGAGGCGCCTCAAAAGGCGGTCGGGGAATTATTGTGACGCCGCCAGATTGCGATTATTGAGAGTGTGGCAGATACGGCGTTACAGACACAACGTGCGGAGCTATCAAGAATTTCGGATAAGAAAAAGGTGCGGGAATGAGTGAGATGCGGTGTGGGTGAGGTGTGGGAATGGGTGAGGAGCGGAAATGGGTGAGAAGAGACGATGGGTGAGGAGCGGAAATGGGTGAGAAGAGACGATGGGAGAGGTGCGGGAGAGAAAAGGATGCTCAAGAACCGCAAAGGACGGCGCGGCAGGGCGGAAGCAGGCGGCAAACGCTGAGGCGAACAGCGAGATTGAATCGTGTGCGAGGTGCCTCTAAGCGTACGCTATCTGCGCTCGCATTGCAATCGCAGTCGCAGTCGCAGTCACAGTCGCAATCGCAGTAGCAATCGCATTCGCACTCGCACTCGCACTCGCACTCGCACTCGCACTCGCTCTCGCACTCGCGTTCGCATCCGCAGTTGCAGTAGCAAAAGCAGTAGCATTAGCATTCGCAGTCGCATTCGCTTCGTGCAGCAGCGCAAAATCGCCTTGGGCAACCGTGGTAAATGAGGCGATTTCGCGCCGCTGCAGGACCAACTTAGCTACTACCGAACTCCTTAACTGCTACCAGTTGTAGCAAGAGTCGAAATAAGCAGATAAGGACAGTCGAGCCTTGCGTCGCCACTCCCTGTCACGATAGAGCTTGTACGAATCGGTCTTATGACATAGTTTCTCAACGAGCAGCAAATAAGGACAGTCGGGCATTGCATCGCCATTCCCTGTCACGATACAGCTTGTACGTAACACCCCGCATTCTACCTCTTTCCAACTCATCAAGGCAAAGAGGCAGAAATCAACCACGACTCGGCGCGCAGCTCAGTACCGTCCGTCCGCGTCGCCGCGAAAACGTTCAAAACGGTAGGTTTTAAATACAAACGCGTGCTGCTACGGTAGTAGTGACTCACTCCTGCAGGCGGTGTTGGCGACAGCGACAGCGACAGCGTTGGCCTCGCTGGCGAGGGTGGTTCGAGCGGCGACGGTAGTAGTAACGGCGAGGTATGCTGACTGTGACGAACAGAGAACGGCAGTTCGCGAGGGATTAGTACGGGCGAAAGGCAGGTATCTCCCGGTTTCGACGCCATCGGCTGCAGCCGTTGGGATTACATGGCATCGCTACACATTCCGATAATACCACGACTACATGGGTGACAGGCCTCCGAGGTTCGAGTGGTGATGCTTATCTCGGATAAGAAAATCAGCTGCTTCCACCTTCGATTGCGTAATTGGCTTCTGAGACGCCTCAGGACTAATAAAAGAGCCAAATGACGCTTCGGGCTGCATAGAATGGCGACAGGCCTCGGATGCTGTACTACTGTGGAACGAACGACGGAGGGAAGCGTTCGCGAGATTCCAGGAATAGAGAAACGGGTTACTAGTGAAACGGTATCTGGCAGGATCTGTTCTTGGTCACCGAAAGACGGAAGGTGCTGTCGCAAAGAACGCGCCGCGCTGACACGACTGACCTTGTGAGCTGCTCAAGGGAAAACTGATTGCTAGCCTGAATGGCGAGAGGGAAGACATTCACACCACGTGTAGGCCTGCCTCATCGTTTTGAGTTCTCTGATTCATCCGCTTGTTCGTGATGAATGGTGTGCTGCAGCTTTCTTGGTTCAGGCATGGGTCATTGTTTAGTCTACAGTGACTTGAAAGGTTCATTCGGGTGCACAATGGTTGAAAGCGGTGAATAATAAAAACCGTTCTCAATTGTGACTGACCGTAATGAACCGCGTTAAACGAGCCCTGGACGAAAAAGCATGACCCGCCTCTTTTCAAGCAACCTTGGAGGAAACCTGAAGCTGTGTGTCTGGGTGCCGTCCGAGGCTGGCGCTCCTTGGTGCTGCGGGCTTGCGGTGCGAGTCTAGAGGTGGTCTGGGAATAGGGTTTTGTGAGAGCGGGCTGCTACAGAGCATCAGCTTGGTCTGGCATGAGGTTCGGAAACAGTGTGGTGGTGTGCTGTTGCTGTTCATGCCGTTCTTCAGTCGACTGTGGGACTTCTTCACCGACTCCACTATAGTCGGTGAAGATCCACTCCACCCACAGTCGACTCGTTTGTGAGATTTCTGGAAGTCCCATCACAGGAGCAGAGCAGGCCAAGCATTTCAGGGCAAGTCCCGAGAGTGAGTTACCCTACCCAACCATTCTGAATATTTAATACAGTGCTCTATATGCCTCATTGAGCCGCGATCAGACGAATTTTTGGGACTCGCCCTCACGCGTGCTTGACGGAGTGTTGACAGAACTACCGATGGGTGCAGAAGTGCGTGCTGGAGTGCGATGATGACCCGGGGGGAAAGAGCTCTGGAAAATCAAGAAAGCCGGGGTGGTAAAGGGCATGTGTCAGATAAGTAGTCAGAGAGCTGCCGAGCCTCCACTTCGGGTTTTCCAAGCAAGGGCATTACTGTACAGTACAGGGTTAATGCCATGACAAATGAAACAGGCAGGAATGGAGAGAACATATTTGGCGACGTGACTTCGCATGTGCGAAATGAAACTTTTGAGAAAAGTCGAGGCCTCTGGGGTTGCAGTTTCAGAGGTGGTGAAAGCAAAGAATATCTGGAGGAAGAACCGTTCATAACTAGTCTCACCAATATGCTCACAACAGTGTCACCACTATGCTCACAACCTCGGCAAACTCATCGGCAAAACCATCGTGGAACAGCGCGCTCGTCACACTTGCACTAGCGAAGGAGGAACAATAAGCGCGTGCTCACAGTCCGATTAGGTTAACTCGAAGGTAGGTATAATCCTCCTGGGCATCGGTCTAGCCTCGTGGCAATTCCTACGAGGCCCGCGACCTCGCTGGTCTCGAGGCAGTGATCATGCATAGCTCCCTCGCCTCGTCGAGCCTCGTACGGCACCGCGCCGCCCTTACCTCGTCGCCACTGGCTCTCCACTGCCACACCACTCCTCTCCCCGCTAGCGCATTAGTCACCCGCGCGCCCAGCTCGGCGGGCCCACCATCTCATGATTAGCAAGCCCTCCTTCGCCGGTTGAGCTGGCCTGATCATGCACCTTCGGTGGGTCCGCTATCTCTCACTCGGCGGGCCCTCCTCCCATGCGCCGCGCCCGCGTTCACTCATCGCCCCTCTCATAACACCGCGCCGCACCATAGCTCGTCTCGACCGAGGGACCACTCCCACTATCACTCTTCTCCCCTCTCACGCGCTTGTCACCCGCGTCCTCCGCAGGTTGGCGGTCCCGCCTTCTCCCATTCGACGGGCCCGCCCTCCCCTTACATATTTTCACCTTCCCTTCCATCCTCTTTCCAACCTTTCCCTTCCATTCGCGTCCCTGCCCTTAGTTTCCCCCCTGCTAACTCGTGTTTCCCCCCTGCTAACTCGTGTTTCCCCCCTGCTAGCTCTTGTTTCCCCCCTGCTAGCTCGTGTTTCCCCCCTGCTAGCTCCTTGTTTCCCCCCTTCTATGCGCTTGCGTCCCAAGATTTCGCTTTTCGTGCCACCAGCTTACGCAGGTTGACCTAAAATTCTACGAATAAGGCACGTGTTGCTCTCGCTAACGACGCATTATGTACAATATACTTTTGCTGTCTAAGGTTTTGAAGTCAGGGTGTAATTGAGGGGTGGGCCAGTGCGATGGGTGTTGAGGGCACACATCGCCTATGCTGTCGGATTGTAATTGGGTAACCAGCTTCTCAACTTCCCAAGAATTTCAAATTCCTGTTTGCAAAAGTATTTTGAGGCTTTGAGCTACAACAGACCTTATTGTCACTAGATTGAGCTATGGTAACTTACCGTATGTCGTAGTAAGCACCCTGCCACACAAGATACAACAAGCCAGACACCCAAGCTGAAACAGCATGTCAGCTTTCAGCAAGTCAGTGGTCGCTCCTGTCCTAGCCCTACCCCTAGAACTACTCCCTTCTAAAAATCATGAAGTACCGTACCACACTAATCAGCAGCACAAACACCACATGCTAACCAAGGAAGCGTCACTAATCAGCAGCACAAACACCACATGCTAACCAAGGAAGCGTGAACAGCTCGTTCGTCCTAGTCCACATCGCTCTGCAGAGCACTCTGGCAGTCACACCCGCTTCCACGACCTGCCATTGCCTGTTTTCTTGGGCTCTACCTGCGTTTCCATTACTCCACTTGCCGAATGGAAGAGCCAGATTGGGCATTTCTGAGGAAAACCCAACCTGGGAGATAGCTAGAAAATGTCACACTAAAGTGCTGCAGAAACTGCAGCCAACAATATATGCAGCTGTTGAGAGTGGTGTTGGCTGCAGAAGCAACAGCAGCATCAGGAGAAACAGCAGCCAGCAGAAAACGATGACCTTCACATTCGCCTGCACCTCTCTCTGTTAGGGAACATACCCTCGCGCCTCTCTCAGCTCGTCCAAACCGGTCTCCTTGAATATATACGGCATGGAGATATTTTTGAGCTTATTCCCCTGCTGGTGCAAGATGCATGCCTCCCCCCCCGAATTTACCTGTCGCACCAGCGCCTGCTCCCCTGTACCCAGAATCGTGAAGTTATCCCAGTTGAGTCCCCCCAGGTGCATGAACAGCGAGCTGTAGTGGTCCAGTTTGATGAACGGCGCCGCCATCACCGCCACCGCGCCCCTGTGCCCGGCGCGACGCGCCTCGTCCATCACGCGCTGCTTTGGCTTGGCGGGCAGGCGGTGGAACGGCGACATAGCGGAATCGTACAGCACCGTGCGGTTGGTTCGCCACGCCACTCTGCTCGCCGACGCCGCCGTCTCCGCCTGCGCGCGCACCGCCTCCGCCACGTCGCTCGGCGACTCCCACGCGGCGCGCACGGCGGCGGGGTCGGGGTTGGGCGCGCGCGGCATGTCGCGGAAGAGGTACTGCTGCGCGAGGAACGCGAGGATGAACCCGCGCTGGTCCTGCATGCAGTCGCGCACGTAGATCAGATCGATGATCTCCGCCAGCGCCCACGCGTACCCGACATAAGCGCCCGCGTTAGGAAACCGATTCACGGAGTGTCTTGGCCTGTTCGGGTTGGCTTCAAGAGGAAAGTACGGTTTTAGCTTCTTCCCATCCGGCCAGCAGTAGATCTCCGCGCCGATAACCACCGGCGCGTTGAGCGCGAAGAAGGCGTCTAGGAAGTTTTGCGGGCGGCATTTGGGGTGCGGCATGAGAAAGACGTCGTCGGCGTCGGTTGTGATCACGACGCGATCGCGCGGCAGCCCCGCGACGAAGTCGCGGATGGAGCGCAAACGGCCGCCTTGGCCCGTCCAGGGCTGGCGGCTTCCGATCACAGAGAAGCTGATGCCCGCCATGTGCGCGAAATCCGCGAGGCGCACCATGTTAACTCCGCATTCCGAGGAGTAAATAACCCACTCCAGCTTGCAACCTGACTCGGAGAACTTGTCGTTAGGAAGCGGATGGGTATCCCACGGATCCGCCCTCGCGTCGTACTTCACCGCGCACCCGTCAACCTGCTGCTCCGCCTCCCCGCGTTCGTGCAGGTCCCGCCCGCGCGCCATCAATGCCTCCCCTTTGGCGACGGCGGCTTCAACCAGATTCGTGCACTTCTGCGAATGCAGGTCCGACAGCATGTTCAGCTTGAACAGATGTCCCGCGCGCTGCGTCACGCACGAATCCCATGTATCCCGGAACTCCTCCGCCTGCGGCGAGAGGTTGGTGGCAACCATGGTCCAATAGCAGATGTACGTAAAGACTACGAGTGCAAAGGCAGCGCATCCGAGAACGAGGCGAAGGACGATCGCGATCTTGGAGGAGCAGCACAGGCGGTAAACATCGGAGATTAAACTTGAAGTAGGCGCCATGGGAGAGGACTGCACGACTGCCACAGGCGGAAAACATCGAAGATTAAACTTTCCTAGAACTGTGTGTTTAGTGGTTGATAAGGATGTAATAGCACAAACCCTGGGAGATGCTGGAGGGGCTGCTTCCTGCTGGGAGCAAGGATATGTTTGCTCAAAATCACCACGGGAGGGAGGTTCGACGCTACTTGTTTTAGTGAGAGGACTGGTCTGGGAATGGCGTTCAGCATGTTGATCGGGCTGGGGAATCGGGTACAGTAAAGGTGGTGGGGGGGGCGCTTCGGTTCTATCCCAACTGTCGTTCGTACCCAATTGTTTACACAACTCGGTGGGTAACGAGGTAGGCGTATCCACTCCCAAGGTGAGCACGTGCGAGCGAAACCCCCGTCTGGGGGGCTGGCTGAATTCACGCTGGCACGACATGTCAGTTGGCCTGGGAACAGAATTACGACGCTGAGTTACCCCGAGACAAGCCTTGAAATTACGGGAAGCGACCGGAAGTTGCTCGTATGCAACGGGCTGAGGCACACCGCTGGGATATTCCCGACACTTCAATACAGGGAATGTGCTTTTGTACATAAATCGCATTGAACTGTGAGGGTTGAATCGCATTGAACTGTCGCCTAGTTGAATCTTTCCAGCTAGGCTGGCGCAGCACGTGGATACACGTATAAGAGGGAGGGAGAATTCCGGCAACGAATTGGAAAGGCCGAACCCAACCATGTTGGCCGATGTGTATCTGACGCATTAGAGATGTTAGGTCGAAGGTTTGGCGAACCATTCTTGCAAGTTTCTATTTCACTACTTCTTAAAGTTATGATACATAAAATTAAGTATCTAAAGGGTCCTACGGATAGTCTCCCAAGTCCTATATGTAGGAGAATAGGAAGCATTACAAGTCTGCCATTTTGTGTGTATTCTGCAGTCCCACACTTACCAGCACAACCGCCACAAGCTCACCATGCAGCGTGTGCACAGCTAGAGCCTAGAGCACCCTCCTCCACATCTCCCTCTCTCCAGCACACTTCATTTGAAAGCACACCCACTTACACGGCCTGCAATTTTCCTGCTTTCCTGGGTACTATGTATCCGTTACTCCACTTGCCAAACACCAACCTAGCAGAGTAGCTACCCAATGTCGCTGCATAGTGCTGCAGAAACAGAAGCAGCAGAAATAGCAGCCAACATTTTTGGCAGCTGTTGAGATGCAGAAGCAACAGCAGCAGCAGGAGAAACCGCAGCCCGCAGAAATCGATGACCTTGACATTCGCCTAAACCTCAATCTTTTAGGGAACATACCCTTTCGCCTCTCTCAGCTCCTCCAACCCGGTCTCCTTCATTATATGCGTCATGGAGATATTGGTGAGCTTATTCCCCTGCTGGTGCAAGATGCATGCCTCACCCCCCGAAATAACCTGTCGCACCAGCGCCTGCTCCCCTGTACCCAGAATCGTGAAGTTGCCCCACTTGAGTCCACCCAGGTGCATGAACAGCGAGCTGTAATGGTCCAGTTTAATGAACGGCGCCGCCATTACCGCCGCCGCGTTCCTGTGCCCCGCTCGCCTCGCTTCGTCCATTACGCGCTGCTTTGGCTTGGCGGGCAGGCGGTGGAACGGCGACATATCGGAGTCGTACAGCACCGTGCGGTTGTTCCGCCACGCCGCTCTGCTCGCCGACTTCGCCGCCTCCGCCTGCGCGCGCACCGCCTCGGCCACGTCGCTCGGCGATTCCCACGAAGCGCGCACGGCGGCGGGGTCTGGGTTGGGCGCGAGCGGCATGTCGCGGAAGAGGTACTGCTGCGCGAGGAACGCGAGGATGAACCCGCGCTGGTCCTGCATGCAGTCGCGCACGTAGATCAGATCGATGATCTCCGCCAGCGCCCACGCGTACCCGCCATACGCTCCCGCGTTAAGAAACCGATTCACGGACGAATTTCTTTTATGAGGAAAGTACGGCTCTAGCTTCTTCCAATCCGGCCAGCAGAATATCTCCGCGCCGAAAACAACGGGCGCGTTGAGCGCGAAGAAGGCGTCGAGGAAGTTTTGCGGGCGGCATTTGGGGTGCGGCATGAGAAAGACGTCGTCGGCGTCGGTGGTGATCACGACGCGATCGCGCGGCAGCGCCGCGAGGAAGTCGCGGATGGCGCGCAGGCGGCCGCCTTGGCCCGTCCAGGGCTGGCGGCTTCCGATGATTGAGAAGCTGATGCCCGCCATGTGCGCGAAATCCGCGAGGCGCACCATGTTCACCCCGCATTCCGAGGAGTAAATAACCCACTCCAGCTTGCAACCCGACTGGGAGAACATGTCGCTAGGCAGCGGATGGCTGTCCCACGGATCCGCGCTCGCGTCGTACTTCACCGCGCAGCCGTCCGCAACCTCCGTCTCCCCGCGTTTGCGCAGGTCCCGCCCGCGCGCCATCAAAGCCTCCCCTTTGGCGACGGCGGCTTCAACCAGATTCGTGCACTTCTGCGAATGCAGGTCCGACAGCATGTTCAGCTTGAACAGATGGCCCGCGCGCTGCGTCACGCACGAATCCCATGAATCCCGGAACTCCTCCGCCTGCGGCGAGAGGTTCACACCGAAAATGCTCCAGTAACATAGGGACACAAAGACTACGAGTGCAGAGACTGCACAAGCGAGAACGAGGCGAAGGAGGATTGCGGCCTTGGAGGAGCCGCACATACGATAACCTGTGGAGATTAAGGTAGGCGCCATGGAAGACGAGGGCAGCAAGGCTGCATGAAGTGCTCTTCTTGTCATGAAACTAGGGTGGTTGTGGTTGATGGGAAAGGTTTCGATTGGGATGTTACAACAGAAGCAAATTGAATTAGGGTTTACTTCGCGCTTACCGAGGATCTTTCAGTCGCAACAACAAAAGTGGATGGGGAAAGTGAATCCGCGGTAGGTTGGCTATGTAGGAAAATTTGCCGCAACGCGGTCCCCGAGAATGCCCGCCAAGTAGGAAAATTTGCCTCTGTGTGCTCCCCCCCCCCCTCCTCCAAACCATCGGCTGGGTATGATATGCTCTTGGTCGAGCCAGGCCCAGCCCGATCCGATAAGAGAGTCGGCTGGTGGGCTGTTCTGGGGTCAAAAAAGGTTTGGTTTCGGATCAGAACGTGGCTGGGTGTCAAACTGGGCTGCATGACCTGACGCTAGGTTGGGAGAAATTCCCAGCGGTTCTACGACAGATTCTTGCCTGTCGCGAGGGAACCAAGCGACCAACCCATCAAATCTGCCAACCATGTTCGACTTCAGAGAGAGCTTCCGTGTCTCTGCCGGCCACTGTTTGATTTTCGTGTTGTGTTCGCCAGCCAACAAACACGAAAATCGCCTGCGACGTCGTCCACCTTAGCGAAGCGTGCGATGTGTTTCGTAATCGGATTTAGCTGTTCCTGACACGCTGATATTTGCATTTTCACACGCGCTGCGACGCTTGACACGCTGTGGCACGCTAATCGTGTCAGCCAGAGGCACGCTTATCTGCCTCACCTTCAGTAACCTCTATAGAGCGTGTTGCATTTGGTGCAAATCCTAAAGTTCAATCTGTATTTTATTGGGTTGCGTAGCAAGCCCTTTACATTTGGTAGCACTTTTTTCGGTCGACTCGAATGAACAGTGCAATTTTTTTCATTTTCCCAACGCCTGAAGCACTCGCTTTAAAGCTCAAGGCCCAAATTGCACAACAATAGTAATCTTGATGGGGGGGGATGAGCCTGGCGAGAGACTTCCAAGGGGAAGGGTGTTGGAAGTGGGGTACCGCATGAGCGAAATTGGCGATTTTGGGGGTGGCGAAAGCTTGTTGTCCGCAGCTGAATGATACCCAATCACAGTGAAGAACCAATTTGTGGTCAAAAACATAACACAAGTTTGGCGTACCAACCACCACACTTCGGACACAACCCTAGGTGCGCCTTGTACACAAACCAATTCGACACACCACTCCCACACCCACCTGCTGAATAAAAAAAGCGGAGAAAACGCTATTATCATGCCGCATTCAACTCGCCGATAACAGACAAGCACCCAGAACATCTAGGTCTTAGAGGACAGAGTACATAAGCATTTGCCAGGGTTGAAAAGGGTAGCTAATGCGCAACTTGCGCCATAAACGCAGGTCCCATCGAACAAAGCGCGCCCCACGTAGTATATGGCAGAGCGCACCCGTGCGCCTCTCAGCTGAAACTCCCGCACGGTCGTATTGCTCTTGATTAGGGTCTCCATGCAGCGCCATTACGCATCACTAAGGACGCTCGAAAACGGAGCGTAAGAGGTTGGTTTAGCAGTCGTTGTAGGAAGGAGCAAGGCGTGAACCACCTGTACACGGAGCAGCATAGTTTAAATACAGTTGCCACCCAAATCCGCAGCACCGATGGCTCGTCGGCGTCAAAAAAACATCTCAGGCAGGTCCGTATTGGAGCATGCATCACCAATCACGCACCATGCCAGTGAAGTAAGCACCTTCGGTCGGATTTGGAAATGGTCCCATACCCCCCCACATGGCATAACACCATGCCAGTGCATTGGCACATTTGTCACTCTTGAGAGGTACAGGCACACTGCGCCACGGCGCTCCCACCGCCATGCTCTAATATCTGGATAGAGTGACGCTTTCGCCTCTCACAAAAGGCACAATCCTCTTGGGCTTCTCTGCCCTGAGCTTCCCCTGCCCTGAGCTTCCCCTGCCCTGAGCTTCCCCTGCCCTGAGCTTCCCCTGCCCTGAGGTTCCCCTGCCTTGGGCTTCCCTGCCCTGGGCTTACCTGCCCTGGGCTTTCCTGCCCTGGGCTTACCTGCCCTGGGCTTCCCTGCCCTGGGCTTACCTGCCCTGGGCTTTCCTGCCCTGGGCTTCCCTACCTGAGCTTCCCCGCCTTGGGCTTCCATGCCCTGGGCTTCCCTGCCCTGGGCTTCTTTCCTTTGGGCTTCCCTGCCCTGGGCATTTTGAGGCCTGAGCTTCCATGCCCTGGGCTTCCCTGCCCTGGGCTTCCCTGGCCTAGGCTTACCTGCCTGAGCTTACCCGCCCTAGGCTTCCCTGGCTTGGGCTTCCCTGCCCTGAGCTGACCCGCCTTGGGCTTACCTGCCTTGGGCTTACCTGCCCTGGGCTTCCCTGCCCTGGGCTTTCCTGCCTTGTGCTTCCCTACCTGAGCTTCCCCGCCCTGGGCTTTTCTGCCCTGGGCTTCCCTCCCTTGGGCTTCCCTGCCCTGGGCATTTTGAGGCCTGAGCTTCCATGCCCTGGGCTTCCCTGCCCTGGGCTTCCCTGGCCTAGGCTTACCTGCCTGAGCTTACCCGCCCTGGGCTTCCCTGGCTTGGGCTTCCCTGCCCTGAGCTGACCCACCTTGGGCTTACCCGCCCTGGGCTTCCCTGCCCTGGGCTTCCCTGCCCTGTGCTTCCCTGCCTGAGCTTACCCGCCTTGGGCTTCCCTGCCATAGGCATTCATTCCAGCACACATTCACAGACTTTTTTGCACACCCCAACCCCCCCCCCCCCCCCCTGCCCTCCCTCTATCGCAGGCTCACAAATGATGTGGCCCCGGACGGGGACCATCCGGCGAAAGAGCTCAGCAAGGAGCATGACAAGCCTATGCACGGAATATCAAAGCATATGCGCCCTGTCATATGCCTCCAGCGGTGCGGGTTGTCGGCACTGATGGGAGGCGAGAACGTTGCGACGACTGCAGATGTTCTCTACTACTTTATGATGAATGCTCCGGCTGCATGCAAACGGCTTATGCGGGCAGCAAAAGAAGCTGGTGAATGTTTATGGATAGTGGGAACGCGTGGTGATTGCTGTTGCATGTGCGCTAATAACCAGGGGTTTGTACATCCTCATACAACGATCGTGCAACCAAGCTGCATTTTATCCACGTGAATCCCCATCCAGGTGCGAATGGGGCGAATGCGGTAGCGACGGCAGAGCTACATCTGGAGTCATACGGGCGTCAGTTTGATTCGCGGGCGAACGATGGTGTGAACGCGGTGACCACGATAATGGGGAAGGCTGATCGTGAACTCAAGGGGCTTGTATACGACTTCCCTGCCTACAAGGAGGATCATCGCGGACGATTACGCCCCGTTGCTGGAAATGGGTGGGGTGGGCCCCGGAAAGGCAAGGCGTTCGAGGAAATGCGCACACAAGGTGAGATATGGAATGGGGATGAAAGGTTAGTAAGCCGCTTTAACCATACATCCAGCCAAGAAAACATGCACAAAACTCGAGGAAGCGGAAACCCCATACCAATCTCGTGAAAAAAAAACAGTGAGTACTCGCCTTGTGTGATATGCACGCAGGGGATGCAGATGGTGGGGCTGTGGAACTCGACAGCGTCCCCATCCCGACGGTGGGATCGGCGTGCACAATTGCAGAGGGAGGTGACCGTCATGTGGGACCAACACATCAAGAAGATGCAGCGTTGGATCACAATGAAATGTTGGAGTGTGTTATTATACTCAAGATTCTGAAATCTTTGCGAGCATCCCACGGAATTTTGCTTGTTTACCTTGGGCAAGCATTGGGGAGATAGTTTGCTGATATGGTGGGGAACAGAGCAGCTAGCATTACAGAAACAAGTGCCATCCTTCTCCCCTTCGGGTGTTGCCGCCTTCTCCTTTTTGTTTAGTAACCCTCTCCATCCCTACCCATCCATTTTCGTCACTGACCTTTGCTGGCCCAACCAACAACAGGACGACAACTCGAGACAAAACAACCAGCAAGAGGCCAAAACCAGTTCCACGTGGGTGGTCAGCCGCTCCAAGCATCACGGATGTGCCTGAGTACACGGTATGCCTTCTACAACCGAAGCACTTGCTCGAAACGGTGGGATCACTACAGATTTGTTGCACACGAGCGGGCTGTTTTGGGAGTATGGCACTCGTGTCGTGGAAAACAGCATGGGCCTGTTTCGGACTTTATTGGCACTGTAACACGTGCACAAGCACACATCAAATATGAGAAAGATCGGGCCAAGGACGTCAAAGCTCATGCCCAGGTTCGTCGGTGCCTTCGCCCTTGCGGGGGTAGGATTTCAAGTGATGTGGGAAGTTTGTCGCAATCTTGGACTTCCGAATCCGGGCAAGGGAACATTCTATCGTTTGCTGCAGGGTGAAGATGGTTTATGGAATGCCATTATTCGTGCTGCACAGAACTCGATGGGGGACGTGCGTACCACTTTATCCAAGAGAGTGGGTGGCGTGGGTTACATCAGTGTTGATGGCAGATGGTCACAAGCGCGAGAGGCAGAGTGGTGTACTGTGTCCTTCCTCCATCCTGAAAGTAGGAAAATCTTGCATGTAGAGACCACAAAACTTGACGTCGATGATGACTCCGCACCGAGGCTCGAAAGTGTAGGATTCAAAAGGGGGATGGACTTCCTCAAGGAGCAGGGGTTTGAGATGGAGGGGATTGTTACCGATGAGGGTAGCACCTTTCGAGGTGCTGCTGTAGAAAGAGGAATCCGTCATCAGATTGACTGGTGGCATAAAAGACGATCGGTGGTGAAAAGATTTGAAAACGAGCTGCAGAACCTTGTTAGAAAAGTGGTGGATATTGATAACGCTGAGACTGTTGAGGACCTTCACATGCACACCTTGAAGAAGTTGAAGGCTTGGTTACTAAAGAAGGCTCCAAGCAAAGCGGAGGGCAAAACGGGAAAGGATGAGTTCATCGAGACAGTTTGCAGTGAGCTCGGTATTGTTTATCGTTATGTGAAACCGGCCGATGCAAAATGGATGCATCTGGAATTGCAGCAGGTGACGTGCGCCAAAGGGTTGCACGAGGCTAGTCGTGGGCCAGAGCCACATAGGAGCGAAGAGGATGGAGAGGATAATGAAACGGTTGACATACCGGTTATGCTCTCATTGATACATGAACATGGCGTGCCTGCGCATGAGGGAACGGGAGATGGTGGTGATGCGGTTGAGATGCTGGAGGGTCCAGTGTCAGTAGAAGTTTGTTGGCGGGATGTGGAGGAGCTGTGGGGGTACGACATCCACCCTGAGCATGGGTTGCGTCCCTCATCACAAGCGTCTCTGGTGGTCGCACTCGCTTGCAATGGCGCTCGCGCTGATACGGATTTCTTGGGAGAACCAATCGATCAAGCACCACCAACGACCCCTCAGACAGGTACATTATCTAATCATCATAGCCACTCTTCTCGTTCATACTATCCCCAATGCACCACCCACTTCATTACCACATCACCACACCCCCTTGCTGTTTTTGCTCACTCCATTACCACATCACCGTATCCCCACTGTTTATACTCATTCCATTACCATATCACCACATCTTTCAGTGTTATTTATCATTCCATTCCAATTCATCACACCACCCACTGTTTTTGCTCACTCCATTATCAAATCACCACACCCCTCTACCGTTCTTGCTCACTATATTACCACATCCCCACACCACCCACTATTTATGCTCATTTCATTACCATATCACCACACACCCTTCAATGGTTTCTATCATTCCAATACCAATTCATCACACCACCCACTGTGTTTGCTCACTCCAATATCACAGCAGCACACCCCCCTATTGTTTTTGCTCACTCTATCACCCCCTCACCACACCCTCCATTGTGTTTGCTCACTCCATTACCACATCACTACACCCCCATCTGTTTATGCCCACTATTCAACCACCTCACCACACCACCCACCGTTTATGATGATGCCATTACCGATTTGCAACACCACCTACTGTTTTTGCTCACTCCATTACCATATCACCATACCCCTCAATGTGTATGGTACTCCATTACCATATCACCACACCACCAGCTCAAGTCACTATAACATATCGTCACATTCTTCTACATTTGTGACAACTTGCAGGAAGCCAACCCAAAGTTTCCGTCGATGGCTGCAATGAGACGCGACGGTGGCACCCACGTAGCAATAAGAAACGGGCACGCGGCACTGGAAACGAAGTCAACGTCGCTAGAGAGAGTGGCGGAAGCAGAAGGTTGGAATATTCGGTTGCACAACGCGTCAGCGTGCATTTCAGGCATGTTATGATGCGCTGTGCAGTGAAGGCGCGCGAAGGGGATGCGCTGCCAAAGGAGGAGGTGTCAGAGGAGTTAGGACTGGCGGCAGATCACTTTGCAGGTGATCATTCACGCTGCCAACGAGCGGGGATCACACCTCCACGCTGTGTTTCAGAGGGATGGGGGGGGGAGAGTGCCGTGTATGCGGTTGGTTCACCAACCCACCTGGCTGTTCGCGAGTGGTTCAAGACGCGACTAGGGCCAACACAAGTGGAACCATTCATCCGTGGCGCGAATAGTTCACTGAATGAGTCATTTCACTCTCTGATTTGCAAGTATGCACCCAAGAGGCTGCGATTCAAGGGCAGCATGAAGGCACGCATAGCCTTGGCAGTGCTGCATTGGAGCAGTTGCATGGACCCACTCGTCAAGGCGTACCGCCTCCGTGCAAGAAAGGCGACACAAGTGCAGCGGGGTTCTGGAGAGAGGATCCTAGGTCCTATGGACTGGTCCTGGATCGACAAGATAATGCAGGAGTGGTTGAAGGAAGGGGTGGAGGATGTGGAGGAAACTGAAACGGCAATAGAGGGAATGCTGGATGAGGTTGTCACAGATCAGGGGGTTAGTGAGAACACCCGTGCGGTGCGACAACGAACCATGAGTGGACAGCCGAGTACTGTTTCTGTGCAACCGGTGTGCAGCACCCCTTTGGCTACCAATGAGCTCACTTTCTCGCCTGGGTGTCACGGCAGCACATCCCGGCCTGCCCCGGTGTCATACGGCCAACGAACTTCACAAGCTCGTCGCCGTTTGCTGGGTTCGTGGTTATAGACATACTTGCTTGTCCCTAAATTCCTGCTCGTGCTTCAGCAGCCGCATCCACCCTGCGCTTATGTCCTTTTTTTGCTTGTTTGCCAAATCTGTGCATTTCTGCTTTCTGTTACCAACCCACAGGAGAAAGGCCAACCAACCTACGCTAACGCTCTTGGCAAGCAGAGGTCTCACACGTAAAGGTGGATTGTAACACGCACAACCTGGTGTCTCCAATACGGTATGCGCCCAATCAGCCCCATACCCTAGGGTACTTTACGGCCCAATCATATACTTGCTGTTTTACATGACCGGTCCGCCACACTCCTATAGGATGTCATTTTTTTTTAGTGATGTTGCCTTCCTTTTTGTACTATACGACTGCAAGATCGTGCCACCTACACCTTCAATGACATCCCTACCCCCCCACCTCCCCCATCCCCTCTCCCACCCGTGCCTTCTGGTCTCTGACAAAAAGATGTCACAGGTCCGGGTTTCTTGGCTGATGCCCCCGTACAACCAAGTTTGTCCCCAACCCCATCTTCACCTCATACTTTATATTTCATACTTCGTCAAACGGCTTGCAGCAGATGCTTTGGTCAGCACTCTCTAAACGTTGCTTCTCCTAAAGACGTACGGTAGCGTACTATAAACAGGTCCACAACCCAAATTAGTTGAGGCATAACATGAACTGAAGGACCTCCCAGAAACCTCAAGTGGTTGCGTAGCCTCCTGCTTTTGCGGTTGCTAACTTCACAACATCATTGTCATCTAATAATGGCACGGCATGTGTGATATTTACTCTGAACTCTGATTGTTTGTTTTGACAATGTTGGTGTTAGGGTTTGCTTACACAATCCATACCATTCTCATATAATCTCCCTTCCGTATAATTCACAAAGGAAGTTGCATTGTTGGAATAGTTTGGTAGGTTGATCCATTAGCATCTATGAGGCGAACGCATGCACCGAAACAATGCCGTCAACAGGGCCTGTACACAGGAGTGGGTGAAAAGGCAGCATAGGACTGGAGAAATCAGGTATTGTGGGAGGGGGGGATCGTAGTGGAGCAATAAGAGTGGGCAAGAGCATGCGATATCAGAGTGGGTGTGTTGGGAACCCGAATTTGTGGGGAATGAGATGTGAGATGCGGGGTGAGTTTGGAGTAGGTACGGTGTGGTCACGGAATGAGATAGGTGAGGGGATAATGGTTAGGAGAATAAAGTGGAAGAATGGGGTGGTGGCATGAGGGGAGGGATGTGGGATGGTGGAGGGGAAGGGGGTGACATGAGGGGAGGGATGTGGGACGCGAGTGACAATGATAAGGCGGACCATGTCCTTCCTCCATCCCTTCCCTGCACCTGGTTGCCGAAACCCAAGAACTTTTGCCAATCAGTGCCGATGAGACGTAGCCCACCAGCTCACATGCACACGGGCCAAGGGCTCCCGTGTACAGCGAAGGCAGGGAGGGCAGGGAGATCATGGGATAACAGCATACCTAGAGCAGCGAGGCGCGTGTCAAGCATGTTGCCCATCTGCACGCGCACACACACACACACAGCGAAGGGGATGGGCAGGGAAAAGAGAGCGTTGGAACAGGAGGTGATGGGAAGGCAAAAGATGAAATCTGAGTGGTACGGGTAGGAAGGGGGAATGGAACGGAAGTGGAGAGGGAGGTGGACGGACGTATGGCGATGAGGATGGATGGGGGAGCAGCCATGCGAGCGGTGACGTTGAAGGACGAGACAGCAAAGCATGGTGCTGAACAGCTTCACGGCGTGTTGGGTGGCATGGCAGCCGAGCCAACGGTGGAGCATGACACGGGCATACCAGGTTGAAGTGCTCGTACTGCTGATTGCCCAGCCCAAACACGGCAAAGCGCATGGGACGGCTGGGGACTGAGGTATGAACAGAGGGGTGGTGGCAGGTTAACGGCACAGCATGAACCAGTCATGAAGGGCAACACGCACGCGCTGCACCTAGCCTCTCCACCGCTGCTTACCTCTACCTCTGCAGCAGCAGCATCCACTTGAAGAAACGCTGCACACCGTCCGTTGGCTCTCCCTCAACGTAGCTGCCCACGGAAGAGGGAGGGGAGGGGAGGAGGTGAGCAATGGGGGAAAGGCATGGGCAAGGCGGAAAGGCATGGGCAAGGGGGAAAGGCATGGGCAAGGGGGAAAGGCATGGGCAAGGGGGAAAGGCATGGGCAAGGGGGATAGGCATGGGCAAGGGGGATAGGCATGGGCAAGGGGGATAGGCATGGGCAAGGGGGGAAAGGCATGGGCAAGGCGGATAGGCATGGGCAAAGGGGGAAAGGGACGGGCAATGGGGAAAGGCATGGGCAAGGGGGGAAAGGCATGGGCAAGGGGGAAAGGCATGGGCTAGGGGGAAAGGCATGGGCTAGGGGGAAAGGCATGGGCAAAGGGGATAGGCATGGGCAAGGGGGAAAGGCATGGGCAAGGGGGAAAGGCATGGGCAAGGGGGAAAGGCATGGGCAAGGGGGAAAGGCATGGGCTAGGGGGAAAGGCATGGGCAAGGGGGATAGGCATGGGCAAGGGGGATAGGCATGGGCAAGGCGGATAGGCATGGGCAAGGCGGATAGGCATGGGCAAGGCGGATAGGCATGGGCAAGGGGGAAAGGCATGGGCAAGGGGGAAAGGCATGGGCAAGGCGGAAAGGCATGGGCAAGGCGGAAAGGCATGGGCAAGGGGGAAAGGCATGGGCAAGGGGGAAAGGGACGGGCATTGGGGAAAGGCATGGGCAAGGGGGAAAGGCATGGGCAAGGGGGAAAGGAATGGGCAAGGCGGATAGGCATGGGCAAAGGGGGAAAGGGACGGGCAATGGGGAAAGGCATGGGCAAGGGGGGAAAGGCATGGGCAAGGGGGAAAGGCATGGGCTAGGGGGAAAGGCATGGGCAAGGGGGATAGGCATGGGCAAGGCGGATAGGCATGGGCAAGGCGGATAGGCATGGGCAAAGGGGGAAAGGGACGGGCAAGGCGGAAAGGCATGGGCAAGGGGGAAAGGCATGGGCAAGGGGGAAAGGCATGGGCAAGGGGGAAAGGCATGGGCTAGGGGGAAAGGCATGGGCAAGGGGGATAGGCATGGGCAAGGGGGATAGGCATGGGCAAGGCGGATAGGCATGGGCAAGGCGGATAGGCATGGGCAAGGCGGATAGGCATGGGCAAGGGGGAAAGGCATGGGCAAGGGGGAAAGGCATGGGCAAGGCGGAAAGGCATGGGCAAGGCGGAAAGGCATGGGCAAGGGGGAAAGGCATGGGCAAGGGGGAAAGGGACGGGCATTGGGGAAAGGCATGGGCAAGGGGGGAAAGGCATGGGCAAGGGGGAAAGGCATGGGCTAGGGGGAAAGGCATGGGCAAGGGGGATAGGCATGGGCAAGGCGGATAGGCATGGGCAAGGCGGATAGGCATGGGCAAAGGGGGAAAGGGACGGGCAAGGCGGAAAGGCATGGGCAAGGGGGAAAGGCATGGGCAAGGGGGAAAGGCATGGGCAAGGGGGAAAGGGACGGGCAAGGGGGAAAGGCATGGACAAGGGGGAACGGCATGGGCAAGGCGGAAAGGAATGGGCAAGGCGGATAGGCATGGGCAAAGGGGGAAAGGGACCGGCAATGGGGAAAGGCATGGGCAAGGGGGAAAGGCATGGGCTAGGGGGAAAGGCATGGGCAAGGGGGATAGGCATGGGCAAGGGGGATAGGCATGGGCAAGGCGGATAGGCATGGGCAAGGGGGAAATGCATGGGCAAGGCGGAAAGGCATGGGCAAGGGGGAAAGGCATGGGCAAGGCGGAAAGGCATGGGCAAGGGGGAAAGGCATGGGCAAGGGGGAAAGGGACGGGCATTGGGGAAAGGCATGGGCAAGGGGGAAAGGCATGGGCAAGGCGGAAAGGCATGGGCAAGGGGGAAAGGCATGGGCAAGGGGGAAAGGCATGGGCAAGGGGGATAGGCATGGGCAAGGGGGATAGGCATGGGCAAGGGGGATAGGCATGGGCAAGGGGGGAACTGCACGCTCACCTGCTCCGCGTGCAGCATGCTCGCCGGTGCTGTCCACGCGGCCAGCAGAGCGCGCGGCGCTGCCTGGTGAGCGGGGGGGGCGCTGACCCGGCGGGTGGAGCGGCGCGTGGGCGCTGTGACGTTGGAGCCTGTCGTTCATCCACAGGGAGGAGAGGGAGGGGCAGAGGGGAGAGCGGAGGAAGAGACGGAGGGAGAGAGCAACGCGGACGCGCGAAGGGCAAGAGGGGTGGAGGCGCATGCAGTTGTAGAGCGCGCGGACTGCAGTCTTCCGCAGTCGCATGGCGCACATGCAGTCGCATGGCGCAGATGCAGTCGCATGGCGCACATGCAGTCGCATTGCGGCCATGCAGTCGCATGGCGCGCATGCAGTCGCATGGCGCACATGCAGTCGCATGGCGCGCATGCAGTCGCATGGCGCGCATGCAGTCGCATTGCGGCCATGCAGTCGCATGGCGCGCATGAAGTCGCATAGCGCACATGCAGGCGGCATAGCGCACATGCAGTCTAGGTGCGGGCTCGTGAATTCACAGGGCGCACACATGCAGTGAGAGACGAGCCCGCACCTAATACGACAGCGGATGAGAGACGAGCGCGGATTGTGGGACAGTCCGGATGAGAGACGAGCGCTGATTGTGGGCCAGACCGGATGAGAGACGAGCGCGGATGCGCGAGGTGCGCGGATGAGATTTCGGGCGCGGATGAGCGACGGGCGCGTATGACATTTCGCGCGCGGATGAGCGAGGAGCGCGTATGAGATTTCGAGTGCGGACGAGCCGTGAGCGCGGGTTCCCTAAGATCGCAGGTGAGCGCGGGGGTTGGTTGAGCGACGAGCGTCGGTGTGCGACGAGCCGAATGCAAACGGCATGAGAGCGGGGGGACGATGAGAACGGTCTGGTGGTGGTATACAATGGCAAAGCACTTTCCCCGCCCACACGCCCTAGGCTTTCTGGGTATCGCGTCATGCCTGCCTCAGCAGTACACACCTACGATGTCGTCTAGTTATGCCTGATGCTGGGCGCCGAGAAGACATTGATGCGTCACATGTACGTCACCATTGAGACCTTCCTCACCGTCGAGGGTATCTTCGCGATTTTAGTAAACCTGGTCGTAGCCCTATATGTATCGCTCGTCTCTCCATTACGCATTTCGGAGGGCGTATAGGAGTGAGTGGTCAAAGGCCTGATTAGTAATCTTGCTTGGAGTGAGTGGTCTAGGTGTGTTGCCCCTTTCTCCCTGGCTTTCCTCGGTGATTGAACTTCAAAAGTCCCAAATTGCGGGGCTGTGGGCGTCAAGGTGAGTATTCGGAGTCTGCCTGGTGTTAGGACCAGGGCTGCAGAGTTTCGCACGGATCCACCCAACCAATCGCGACGATTGTGGACAACTGTTGGGGTCGCTCGAACTTCCGTGTCAATGAATCGGGTAACACACTTCCGAGGCCATCAAGATTACTAATCTTGATGGCCGCGGCTTGCAATTTGGGCCTTGAGAACGATTGCTTCAAATGTGTGAAGATGAATGCACTGAAGCACAAGAGTCTCCAAAAAAAGTGAAACCAAATGAGACCAATTGTTCCATAATCGTCGATAAATACGGCGAATGGAAACAATTGGTAGCCTTGCCAGATTTTACATCAAACACAATTGACGAGACAACAAATTCGACATGGATGCAAATCACGGTATTTGCATCTATGGAACATAACGACAACACTCAACAACAGCAAATGTCATAAAGTAAATGATAAAATGCATCGGTGCTACGATAGCGATGGATCCGGTATGCTAAGGCGAGCAAACGCTGCCCCAACAACGATCCCCACCTCAATTGCAGACCCGACACACTTTAACATGACACTTTACAACAAACACGAACGAGCACACGCGACATCGTACTGATACGACGACAACGCATAACAATTACCATGAGTGTCTTGGGGAGAACGCTAAAATGCATCGATGATGCAACAAAGGTTGGTCTGGCACGCTAAGGCTTGCCCCACCGGCGATCACAACCTGAGTTCCATACACGAGGCACTTCAGCACACGCCTTGAGACAGACACAAACGATACAAACAACACGACTGTACATACATATCTCACACATGCTCACACACACACATACACACTGACACACACGCAAACAAGCACAGATACATACAGATTGTCAACACACAACCATCATGACATTCAGCTATTAATAAATTATCATTAGATTATCACCCCCTATCCTCCCTACACCCGTCCCTCCCTCCCTCCCTCCCTCCCTCCCTCCCTCCCTCCCTCATCTCCCTCCCATTGCCTCCCTCATTTCCCTTCTCCGAAAGGATGCAGCTCACGCACCCTGCACATAGTAAAAACAGAGAATGCAACATACGCACTGCACAAGAAAGCAAAAAAAGAGGATGTTCACACATTGTGTACAAGAAAGCAGTAAACAGAGAATGCAACTCATGTGCGGAGGCCAAGCAGGAAACAACTCACCCGCACTGCATAAGAAAGCAAAAACAAAGAGTACACCTCACTGCATTGCAAAAGAAAACAAAAGCAAAGAATGCAGCTCACACACTAGAGACGAAATAAGCACACAAAAAAAGATGAGCAATGAATTTGACAGCTCACAGAGGAAATTTGGTATTAGTCGTGACACCAGCATGATGCCATACCTTGAAGCCACCCTCAAGTTCAACTTCACACTCACGTTCGCACTCACTCTTGTACTCAATCTCGCACCCACTCACACACGCACAAATACTCTCAACTTCTTAGACACACTCACAGAAGCACACATACAAACCTACACGTTCACTCTAACACTTGCCCTCGCACTCATAATCGTTCTCATTCCCAATCATGCTAACACAAATACTTACACGCGCACGCAAGCACACTCACACGCACCCTTGCACTCACACTCGCACTTGCTCTCGCATTCACCCTAAGACACACACTTGCATGCAGTCTCACTCTCAGCCTTGCACTCACACGCACACCCACTCATCCTCGCACTCACCCTTGAACTACCCTCACACTCGAGCTCACACTCACCCCAAACCCTACACCATCATATTTACACTCACATTCACTCTCGCACTTGCTCTAACTCTTGCTCTCGTTCTCACCCTCGCAGTCACCTAAACACGCACCCTCGTACTTCCTCTAATATTCACCCGCATACACGCACTTGCACGCACCCTCGCACTTCCACTCACACTCACACTCGCACTCACACCCGCTTTCGCACCCGGACTAAAAACCGCCCTCTCACCCTCACACACTATCGTACTCACTCTCGCAACCGCTCACGGACGCACAATTACTTTCAACCGTTCTTAGACACACTCTCAGAAACACAAACACACACCCTTGAACTCACCCTCGAACTCGCGCACTCACTCGAACACTTTCGCACTAACACGCGCACACAGTCGCCGGCACGGTGGCACCCTTGAACTCCAATCACGCCCACACCCACACCCACACTCACGCTCACGCTCACACTCGCCCTCGCACTCACACTCGCACTCACTCTTCTACTTGCCCTCACGCACCGTCACACACCCTCGCACTCACACCCGCGCTCACGCTTGCACTCAACATCGCAGCCATCATCAAACTCACCATCGCACTCACTCTTGCACTCACTCTTCACTCAAACACATGTAATGTACTCTCAACTCTTCTTCGACAATCACAGAAACACACACACAAACTCTTGCACTCATCCTCGTAATCACCCTAGCACACACTCAAACGGACCCTCGCACTCCCCCTTGCACTCACACACACACTCACACTCGTACTCACCCTCAAACTCGCCCTGGCACTCACTCTCACACTTGCTTTCGCACTCACACTCGCGCTTACGCTCGAACCTGCTCTCTCGTTCGCACTCGCACTTGCCCTTGCCTTCACAACCGCACTCACGTCGCCCGTGCCCAAGGCGCCAGCACCCTAAGTGCAAGCGCCCACGGCGCCCCACTGCACCAGCGCCTTAGGCTCCAGCGCCCCCGGCGCAATCGCCCACAGCGCCAGCGCCTCATGGGGCAGCACCCACGGCGCTCGCGCCCTAAGCGCAAGCACCTTATGCGCCAGCGCCCATGGCGCAAGCGCCAATGGCGCCCGCGCCGACGGCGCAAGCGCGCACGGCGCTCTCTCTCTCTCTCGCGCCTCTCCCTCCCACTCTCCCTCCTGCACGCTCTGCCACTCTATCTCCCTCTAGTGCTTCCTTCGCTCTCACGCGCGCACTCTCCTGCACTCTCGCTCCCTCGCGCTCCCTCTTCCCCCTCTTCAAATGGTAGTGCAACGCAAGAGACCAATCAACACACAGAAACTACAAATAAGATAAGGAAAAATCGGAAATATAGGAACTTCCAGTAGGGGGAAGGGAGGGAAAAAGGACCGGGAAGGGTAAACGCACCTGCAATTCACGGTGCAGAGACCAACCCGCGCTCGCGCACCAGCTCCCACTCGCGCACCAGCTTGCTCGTGACCTGTCGCCGAAGGCGGCGGCGGAATGGGAGGGTGAGGCGACGGCGGAATGGGAGGGAGAGGCGACGGCGGGATGGGGGGAGAGGCGACGGTGGGATGGGAGGGAGCGGCGACGGCGGATAGGAGGGAGCGGCGACGGCGGATAGGAGGGAGAGGCGACGATGGGGAGGAGGGAGAGGCGACGGCGGGGAGGAGGGAGAGGCGACGGCGGGAGGAACGGGGAGGCGACGGCGGGAGGGGAGGGGGAGGCGACGGTCGGGTGGGAAGGAGCGGCGACGGCGGGAGGAGGGAGCGGCGACGGCGGGAGGGAGGGAGCGGCGACGGCGGATGGGAGGGAGAAGCGACAGCGGGTGGGAGGGAGAGGGGGTTGCGCGGTGGGAAAGAGAGTGGCCGGCGGGGTGGGGGGGAGCTGGGTGGGTGGGAGGGAGAGGCGGTGATGAGCTGGGTGGGTGGGAGAGAGAGAGGCAACAGGTGGGTGGGGGTCCGCGGAGGAGAGGCAATGACGAGGTGGGTTTGTTGGGTTGGTTTGGGAAAGGGAGGTGGGGCAGTAACTACAGTAACCAAATTGAAGGAACTGGGAAATTAGAGGAGTTTTGTACACCTGCATGAAACACTTGGGTCGATCTGAAAACTTGAGCAAAACTTCGGCACTTGAAACAAAAACAGACTAGTATCCACGTGAAATCACAAGCTCTATCACGTGGCACATCCAGCTAGCTGAAACATTTGAGTGAGCTAGAAACAACTATGAACCACACTTTTGCTAGCAAGAACCTCATAATGCAATCTATGT